GTGGTGGTGGTGTGGATGGGTATTCTCTGTTGTCCTGATGCATCTCTAGTTTAGACCATCCTGTCCTGGGCTCCAGATGGGGCTGTCTCAGTGATCCTGCCTGCATCCTTGTGGTTCTTCACTGGGAGTTTCCTGCTTCTCTGGTGGGAAGAGACGTTGAAGGGTGTGGCACTGGGGCAGATTCTCCCCACACTCCAGGTTAGATGTTTTCTCCTGGATCCTTCCCTCAGCCACAGTGGGTTTCCACCTTATCCATGAGGATAACAGAGTTAGCTGTTCCACCTGCTTTTCCTTCTTTGGCTGCACAGGAGAAAAGGGTCTGTGTGGGCTCTGTGCCTTCCTGGTGCAGTGACCTGTCCCTTATCCAGGCAGGAACACTATAGCCCACCTCCTCAGGTACCTCCTCCTGCCCCAGTCTCCCTTGAGTTCCCAGGGAACTGTGTGGATGAGAACCTGTGAGTGGGTGTCCACTCTCCTCGGGCTTGTGGCCTCCAGGTGTAATGTCTTCTCACCCACACTTGGCCTTCAGCACTTGGTGAGGGAATTTTGCCTGGGTCCTGGTTACCTTGTTACCTGGCATCTCCTTCCTGTGCTGCATGTGAGGGCAGTGTGTGGCTCCTGTCTTCTTAGAGATGTTGTTTCCCATGGACGCCCAGCTATGTGCTTCTCAGGGAGATAACATCGCTTCTTTGCTCATTGTTGGGGTAGCAGTGATGCTTTCCAACCTTCCCAGGCATCAGTGAGATACACAGATGCCTGCAAGTGAAACAAAGATTTTTTTTTTTTTTTTAATTTTTTGGTGCTGAGGTCTGAACCCAGGGCCTCAGGCTTGCTAGATAAGTGATCTACCGCTGAGCTAAATCCCCAGCCCCAAAGACAAATTCTTAACAAACTTCTTTAAATTGTTTCATATGTGGTTTATGATGCACAAGAATACAGGATTTCTGCTTACATTCGTATGTAAAATTTTCTTTTAAATTGGATTTTCATATTTTGAGAAGTGAGTTAATTTGACAGAAAATTGTCTCTGAGCGATGCCACCTCTTAGCAGACACTGGGCAGGTGAATGGATGGCGGATGTTTTGGAGACATTAAAGCTGGGTCTTCGTGTTTAGAAAGGCCCTATGTGCTAGGTGTAACAGTGCACACCTGAAAACCTAGTATTCGTAAGGCTGGGGCAGGAGGACTTCAGTTTAAGGCCAACCTAGGCTATATAGCAAGAGCCTGTTCAAGAAATAGAAACAAAAACACCCAAAACAGCCCCTCAAAAGCTTCAGTGGTCTCTGCTCTAGTCTTGCCTCCCCATCCATAGCTTAGTAACTTGGAGTTCTTTTTTCTCACAGCACTTATCATGTGGATCCAGCATGCTACATTCTACTTATTATGTCTCTGGTCCCACAAGACTGTATACACCACAGGCCAGAACTCTTTCTGTCTTGTGTTTTTCTCCCTGCCACGTCTCCAGACTTTGAATAGGAGGAATCCAACCAAGCATGCTGAATGAGCACTTGTGTGTGTTGGTAAAATATTTACAGTAATTTCACTGTTGTTACTGATTTCATTCTCACAGAAATCCTATGCAGGAGGGAGAATATGTACTATCATCCCCATCTGACAGAAGAGAAAGGTAAGGTACAGACTGACCTTATTTTAAACTTGTAGAATTCCTAGATCAAGGCCAGGATGCAATCCAGTTTTCTGCCTTCTTAGTATAGGTATATTTCAGGAGACTAGAGGCTGGAAAATTAGGGCTCGTGGCCATGTCTGGACTACTCCCTAGTTTTCTCTTTTTGGTACTGGGAATCGAACTCAGGACCTTACTACTCCCTGTTTGTGCTAATAAAATTTTATTGGTACACAGCCACATTTGTGACATATTATTTGTGGCTGCCTTCATGCTACTTTAGTATGCCACATAGCTGCAATGGAGACTATGTTCCATGAGGTTAAAACATTTACTATCTTGCCTTCTGCATAGAAGGTCATCTGTGCTGGAACTTGACCCCTACACAGGGCCCACAGATACACAGAGTTTCCTGACACCCTACAGGGCAGCTAGTATGTTAGGGTTCCTTTCCTAACAAAACTCCTGTGTAGTAGTCCTTTCTCACTGTGCTAATATGTATAATGAGGGTGCAGAAGCAATGGTGGATGCATGAGTTTCCTGAGGCTGCTGAAACAAATGACCACAACCTGTTGGGCTTAAGCAATAGAAATTTATCCTCTAACCAAATTTTGTTTGTTTATTTTGTTTTGTTGAGACAGGTCTTACTGTGTAGCTCAGGCAGGTCTTGACTTGAAATCCTCCTGCCAAGTGTCCCAACAGCCTTGAGCATTAGAAGTATGGGCATGCACCACTGTGCCCAAACCTCTGTTCTGAAGGCTGGAAATCAGCTTGGGTCGAGCTCCCTCCAGAGGCACTGGGGCAAAATTGTGTTCCTTGCTTCCTGCAGCTCCTTGATTGTGGCTACCTTCATGCAGCCGTCTTCACCCCTTGTGGCTTCTCTTTTTCATGTCATCTTTTACTGTTTATTATTTGGACATTTGTCATTGGATTTAGGGTCCACTGGATAATCCAGGGCCATTTCATCTCGAGATCCTTTACTTATATCTGCAGACTCTTTCTGAATAAGGTCATATTTATGGGTTCCAGGGGTCAGGATACAGCCATAACTTCTTTTTTTTTTTTTTTTTTTCCAGTCTTTTTGAGACAGGGTCTCGCTATGCAGTTCAGGCTGGCCTTGAGCTCACTTTGTAGCCCAGGCTGGTCTCGAACTCACAACGATCCTGCTGCCTCAACCTCCTGAGTGCTGGGATTACAGGCGTGCACCACCATGCCTGGCTTGCAGCCATAACTTCTGAGGGTCACCATTTAGCCTCTTCTAAAGGTAAAACTGTTGGCATGGTAGCATGGATCATGGCTTTGCCACCACATGCAACTTTGGATCATTATACACCTTACCACATGCACCAAGGGGGGAAAAGCTGTTCTATTTAATAATTTCCTTGATGAAGCAATAAAAATTACTTATTAATTTTTATTAGTAAGCAATCTAAAAAAATACTAAGTTTAGATCCTTGAATGCACATCTTTTTAGTATTCTCTTCAGTATTCCACATCCTGGAATCCCAGGATCTTTGAGTGGAAACAGGGCAGGGAGTTTGTGATGCAGATGTCTCAGGATATAACCCTGAGCTTTTGCTAGGTAAAGATACTGAGAGCTAAAGTAAAGAACAAATATGAACATATGCGACCCTGCCTGGCTCGTTCTTCTCGACTTTTTTTTTAACTTTTAATTTTATGTTAAGAAACATATGTTACTGCTTTTATAATGGAGAGAGAAATCGTTTTCACGTTTGTAAAATATTTCACTTTTCCTTCTGAAAATGATGAAGATAGGAAGTGGACAAGAATGGTGGTCACATGTTGGTGGCGTGGATTTGTGCCGAGAAACATCATTTAGGGGCCATGGCAGGGTACAGCCTGATCTCCTGTCTCCCTGTGGGGGGACCCTGAGGCGCTTCTGAGTGCTAGGATTACAGGTCTGTGCCACCTGCTAGACTCTTCTCAGGTGAGTCCTTTGGTTACAACCATGACAGTGCCACCTTTGGGCCAGCAAGGTGGAGGAGTGTGGTCCTTCGACAACTTGGTCAGACTCCTGGCTTCCTCTCTCTCTCTCTCTCTCTCTTTTTTTTTTTTTTTTTTTTGGTATTGGGAATCGAACTCAGGACCTTGCACTTGCCAGGCAGCCGCTTGTGCCTCTGAGCTATATTCTCGGCCCTTGGCTTCCTCTCTTGCTGGGGCAGCTCTTCTTCCTTTGGTCACCTCCCGCTCAGGGAGCTTCAGTCAGAGCAAAGTAACAACAGACATGTTAGGTCCAACCCTGTCATGTGCACTTTGCCTTCCTCTTAGGCTGTTGGATTCTCGGAACCCAGCAATTTTATGTAACTGTACTACTGATAGTTCTGTTTCCATCTTTCTTACTACCATTGATGAATGATTTTGCTGAAGGAAGAACAAAGTGGTAGAATCTAATTGAAATACTGTGTGCACAGTGTCTGTGCATATGCTTGGCATGTGTACATGTGGTCTGTGAACAGCAGCATGTGTGTCCACTGTGCATCTGTATGTGTAGTGTGTGTACACATTCATGTGGCATATGTGGGTGTGTGTGCACTGTGCTGTGCTGCTGAGTTCCAGCGGAGGCTGACTCTCTTGGGATGAGTAGCAGCTACTACCAGGGCTCCCCCCAGGCTCTTGCCACCCCTGCCACCCTCACCCCTGTCCATATCTTGCCTTGTGTAAGGAATCTGAGGTAATGTGGCTTCCAAATGTGGCTGTGGTAGTTGAACCCGCCCACCTCATTCCCTGGAGAACAATCCTTCCAGGAAGTGCAAATGCAGTGTGGCAGGTACCAGCCACTGTGCCACGGAGATGGGTGCCCCCGACCAGCCAGTTCCCTTGAGGAAGGGCCTTCCAGGGGAAAGATTAGGGTCACGTCGACCCCAACCCTTGGCGCCTCTCAGTGCCTGCAGCTCTGGATCAGGCCCTGGTCACCCTTGCTCTGGGCTTCCAGACACCCCTGCAAGAAAGACCCCTGTTCTGCTTTCCCGCCCTCCGAGACAGACGCGCACAGCAGCCTCTGGGAGTTTTCAGCAATGCGGGCCAGAGGTTTTTAGCATCTCCTCCATCTGGGTTGGCCAAATTGTCTCTTCAGGACCAGCTCGACGCATTAGCGACGCCATAGTTTCTTCGCACGTGACGCCACGGTCAAATCCAGGGCCAAACGCAGATGGACTTTTCTCCCATTGTCAGGCTCTCAACGAGCTTCTGCCACCACCAAAATGGCCGCCAGGCATTTCCACCCCAGGCCACTACCAATATGGCTAAAACGTGAGGCTCCCGCCCACTTAGGGGTGTGGCCGTCAGCTCATTAGCTGATGTGCGTCTGGCCACAGCCAATGGGAAGGTAGCGCGGGCTCCACGGCGCGCGTATCCGCTCTGGCATAATATTCTGCAATGGCTGGCTTACGGGTTCCGGACTTTTGGACTCCCGGCTGCAGGAGACCCTGGAAGGAGCTGCTGGGTAGGAGGGAGTCCGGCCGGGCCGGGGTGTGGAGCGGCGCTGCTCCTGGAGCCCCGGGGTGCCGACGTCGGCCAGGGTCACTTTGACGGTGTGCCCGCTTCTCCGCCCCGTGGCTCTGGGCTGGGCGTAGGGCTGGGGTCACATCCGGCTGAGGGACTGTGTCGCGGGGCGCGGGTGTCAGTGCAGTCACGTTTTGAAACTGATTTCGCTCTTAGCGGGAAGGGTCAAGCGGCAAAAACATAATCCTGAACGTGAACAGAAGTTAAAGGAATCAGCTGTGCAGCTCCTGAGACGCCACCAGAACTTGGAAGACCTTCTGCTTGAGGTAAGAGGGAACAGATGTACCTTGCGACCGCAGTGCTGCTAAGTGAAATAAAGGTGGCACTCGCCCTTAAATATCGCGCAACTTCTGTGAGAAAAGCCAGTATACTTAAAAAAAAAAAAAAAGCCAGTATACTTAAAAAAAAAAAAAAGCCAGTATACTCAAAAAAAAAAAAAAAAGACACTAGGAAACAGGCAGATAGGTCTTTTGCAAAAGCAAAAGACATCTAGCGAGGGGGAAGGGAGGAGAATTAAGAAGAATTAAGATGTGTTAAGTACATGCGCCTCCTCCCTAAGGTGAATGTAAGCAATATGTACTGCAAACATGTACTAATAAAAATACATACACTTAAAAAAGGATGTTGGCTTGACCTTTGCAGGCAGATTAGGTTTGGGGTTTTGAGCTTGAGAAGCATAGTGTACCTGAGGAAGGCAGCTGGAAGGAGCTGACCAAGGGAGAGGAAAAGCTGGAAGCATTTACCTCTGAAAGCCCTTGAATAGTGAATTTAATAGTAATTCTCAAAAGGCTGTAGTACATTGTACTTTTAAAATACTTGAGAATGCTGATTATGCAGGGATTATATGAACAGAGCCTGAATTTTAAAAGCAGCACTCTTCATGCTTTGGTTTCTAGGTAGAAGATCCACCTTGTAAGAAACTGTGTCTCACTTGGTTGATTGATTGTGACAGTGCTGAGGCCTGCAGTGATCTTTCCAGTTCCTTTATAGGTGAGTTATAGCTTCATTTTCTTAATTCAGTTATAGAGGACTTTTTATAATAGGTGATTGTGATCTGCTTATAAGTAGAAATTTGAATTTCCCCAAATAATGACTTTCTGCTTGTGGGTGTAGTCACCACTTGCACATAATGTTTTGTGACTTGTTTGGGGCTTTGCTGCTGGACTTAAAAACTGTTTGACTCACATTAGGCTCAGAGGTAGGAGGAACCGATAGGAGGAATGTCCCACCTCATTAAGGAGCGGTGCTGACAGGTTGCTGTCTTGGAGCAAGCAGACAGGACACCAGAGCATGTGTCTAGGTGGCACCCCCACCCCAGCTTGAGACTGAGATAGGGGAAACTGTGGGAAACAACAATATAATAATAATGATAAAATAAACCTTTTTTTGTCCTTCACATTTTTAGTATGTAATGATTGTTGTTTTGGAAAGTGATATTAACTAATTTGCTTAAAGTCTATTAAAAGACCCTTAATAGCTCTGCCTTGACAACTGACCACTAAATGCCACTGGTAAATGATACTGCTTTCTTTTCATAACTGCATTTGAATTTCTCAAATTATGCACCATCACTCCAGGAAACCAAGCTTAGTCATACATTCTTGTATGGACTTTGGGTCAAAGCATAAGAACTTATATAAGAATGTCTTTAACCTTGATTATAGAAATATAGACTCAATTCATTAATTTTTTTTTAGTTTGATTTTTAAGGAGATGGCTGCCATACTAATATAAGATTAAGGTCTTGTAAAGAAAAAGAAATTCTCTTACAGATAAATTGGAAACATGTGCTTAGCATTTTTCCCTACCTTTCTACTGTGAATTATATCTGGACCATAGCAACTGATTTCTAATACTGTAATTTGAAGTACCTATAACTATTGTATGTGGCTTACCTTAAGTATTTATATATGTTTTCAGAGCCTGGCAGATAATGGGCATGTACTACAGTTTTGTCTGTCTGTCTGTCTGTCTGTCTGTCTTTCTTTCTTTCCTTTGAGACCGGGTCATGCTATGCAGTTCAGGCTGGCCTTAGGCTCACTTTGTAGCCCAGGCTGATCTTGGCTGTCTTGTCTTTTTTTAATTCACATTTTAAAAAATTATTAGTACATGTTTCCAGAACACAATGATTACATTCACTGTGGGGAGTTAGTACATGTCCGTAACACTTTTTTTTTGAGACAGGATCTCACTGTGCAGTTCAGACTGGCCTTGAGCTCACTTTATAGCCCAGGCTGGTCTTGAACTCGCAACGATCCTCCTGCCTCAGCCTCCCGCGCGCTGAGATTACAGGTATGTGCCACCATGCCTGACCCTAATACGTATTTTTCCTGTTTTTTTTTTTTGAAAGTTAGTTTTGGAGGCAAGTGCATTAGAAAATACCTTGCTTGTGGGCATTGCCTGTTTCGACCCTGTCAAATGTTTCTGCTTTAAGGGCTGCAGGCCAGAGGCTGGTGGCTGTCTGAGGGCCAGTGTTCCTGGTCCCACCTGATGGCCCTGATGACTGAATGTACCTCTGGCCTCTCTGCCCCCAGATGCACAGCGGAGTACTGGGAAGGCCTTGCCAGTTCTGACTCAGCATCAGTGTGGTCAGTGGGGGAAGGCTTGGTTGTGATGCTGACATAGTTAATAAAACAGAGTAAGAGGCTGGAGTGTTGCAGTAGAGCACTTGTCTGGAGTGCCTGGAGCCCCGGGTTCAATCCTCAGCCCTGTCCCCTGGAAAAGAAAAGTTAATTGAAGACCCCATTGGGGTTCTCATTTCCTTGTGTTCCTTTGAGAGAGAATAAAGTTCCTTGAACACATTTGTGTCAGAATGCACCTCCTCATCCTACTTGCTGTGTGTCAGATGAGGCATAGCAAATGGATGTGCACAGCTCTGGTTTCAGACATTGCTGGTGATTGTATTGGAAGCTGTTTGACCAGTTCTTGAAGGATCCTCTTGCCTCCACCTTCTGACTGCTGGGATGACAGGAATGCTGCACTATGCCCAGCTATTCTTTACTTTTATAGGCAGTTTTCTGCAATGCTACTATTTACAAGATGCATTTGAAACCCAAGTCTTGTGTTTCTAGTTTCCCTATGTTCTCAGGGAAGGTTGTGGTTTTGTCTTTAAGGCTCTGCCTTGCGGGATCAAGCCTTAAGGCTGGGGATTCCTGTGGCCATCCTGGCAGCCAAGATAGTGGCCTGCAGCGTGAAGCAGGTGTGTTCGAAGCCCGGCCACCCTGTTCTGCTCAGCTTGGAGCAGAGGGTAAGACCCAGTGTCCCTTAGGTGGGAACAAATGGCATTGCTGTTGAACTCTTTGGGAAAATGGGACATTTCTTTTGATTGGCTTGTTTTTAAAAATATTTTCTTTCTCTTTTCAGAAAAAACTGTCTTCCCTGTTAGATGTTGCTCAGTATTTATTGGCACATAGTATGTTCTCCCGCCTCTCCTTCTGTCAAGAATTATGGAGTGTGCAGGTAATTTTGCAGTTCTAGTCAAGTTTTCCAGGGGTGTTCTTTTGACTTGGGACTCTCTGGGCTTTCTTAGGAATTCAGCCAAAGTCCTCAATAATTAGAGTTGTGGGGGCATCAGATGTTCTGTGGGCCGGAAGGAAGGACTTTGGTTCCCTGTTTGTCAGCATTCACCTGTCATTAGTAGTGCTTGTTAGAATAGACATGTGTCAGGAATGTGGTGCTGTGCCTTTTTGGATGTATTGTTACAAGGCTTTCTAAGGCAGTAAAGTATAGAAATATAATTTAAAATTTGGGAATGATGGCACACATCTGTAATCCCAGCACTTGAGAGGCTGAGGCAGGAGGAGCTCTGTGAATTTGAGGCCAGCCTGAACTATGTAGCAAGACCCTGTCTCAAAAAGGCAAAATAAAAAGCAAAAATATGTCCATCCATAATTTAAAAATTATATTGCTGAGCATGGTGGTGTGTACCTGTAATCCTAGCACTTGGGAGAGTGAGGTAGGAGGATCACTGCATGTTCAGGGTCAGCGTGGACTACATAGTGAGGCTCTGTCTCAAACACAAACAAAATTTGCAACAATAAGCTCTTTTTCTGGAGCATTTTGAATTCAGTAGGTTTATAGATTTTTGAAAAGTTCAGATGTGCTCAACAGTAACTGCTATTAGCAAGTACATGGAAAAAGGAAAGTTAAAGCTGAAGTGGTCGCCCCCAAGTGTCTTTTCAGTGTTATCCTGCCTGTGTTATAGAGCTCACTGATCTGGTAGGAGCTGTCATGGTTTCTGTACTCATTGCCATCCAGTTGGGGAAGCAGGCAGGGAAATGGATGTGAATGGCAGTGGTGGGTGTCTGCGGGTATACAGAACAGCGCAGATATGTGTGTAGAGTGGTCCTTATAGGCTTTCCCCAGACTGCAGCGAGAGGAGGATAGAGCAGGTGAATTTAGCACAAGAGGTGGCGGGAGGCAGGTGAGCAGGCCTGAGTGCATCCTGTGTGTGCTACCTGCCCGGCCACCTCAGAGGTCCTCGTGGGAGAGGCCCAGCAGAGGTCCCAGGCACACATCACAGTCTGAGTTTTATCCTGAAAGCTGTGAAAAGACAGTGAAGCTTTGAAAGGCAAGATGGACTCGCCTGTGTGGTTGGAGCATGTGGCCGCAGCGTGGGGAGCGTGGGAACACCTTCCTGGCTCTGGTGGGCAGGAGTCAGAAGACAGAAGAGCAACCACGCCAGGCAGCAAGGGGCCATGTGCGGAGGGCCTGGGACTTAGTGGGCAAGGGGCAGATGAATTGTGTTGGGCAGGAGTCCCACATGGGACTCATCGTGCTGTTTTTTTTCCTCAGAGCTCTTTGCTGCTGGAAGCTGTGTGGCGTCTGCATGTGCACAGCATTGTCAGCCTGTGGGAGCTGCTGGAGAGGTAGCGGGCAGGGAGTGGGAGGCTCCACACCACTGGGCTTTTGGCTTTGCTCTGTGGTCTGAAGTGCCAGGTGCTTGGGGACAGTGCATGTTCATTAGTATGTGGGGACAGTCCCCAGGGTAGGCAAGGTCAGGGCATAAAACAAGTTGAATATATTTGGAGTGGTTGAATCATTCAAAATATGTTCTCTAACCAGAAGGGAATTTTATTACAGTCAGCACCAGAAGGAAATTTGGAAAATCCACAACATTTGGAAATTAGCAACAACCTCCCTCCTCCTGCTTTTCTCCCCTTCCCTCTTTCTTCCTTTATTCCCTCCTTTCCTTCTGTATTGGGGCACTGTACCACTGAGCTACATCCTAACCCTATTTATTTATTTAGTGGCAGGGTCTTGCTAAGGTACCCAGGATGGTCTAAGTTTGGGATCCTCCTGCCTAAGCTTCCTGAGTGGCTGGGATTACAGATATATGCCCCTGTACCTGGTTTAAACAACATATTTCTAAATAACCAGTGGGTTAAAGAATCACAAAGGAAAGTAGAACACATCTTGAGAGGAATGAAAATGAGAACAGTGTGCTAAAATTTACAGGATACAGCTAATGGAATGTTTAGAGGGCAGTTTACAGCTGTGAAAGCCTCTCTTTGGAAAAAGAATGTTCTCAAATCAACCTAGGTTTGGATCTTAGAGACCAGGAGAAGGAGAGGAAACTAATCCTGAAGAAAGTAGTAAGAATCAAAGCAGAAAGCAGTGAAGTAGAAAACAATGGAAAACATAAATGAAAAACAAAGGTTCCTTAGAAAGAATTGGTGAGGGCCGGGATAATAGCTCAGTGGCACAAGCACCTGCCTGGCAAATGTAAGGTGCTAAGTTTGATTCCTAGTACCAAAAAAAGAAAAAAGAAAAGAATTGACCACTGGGCCACCCATTGTAAGCTATTCCTAATAAGTGAGCTGTGTGGAGATGGTTATTTTTGTGTCAGTAGCAAGCTAGGAGAAGCTGTGTCCATACCCACTTGGACTTCTTGGGCAGAGGCCTAGGCCAGTGATGGTGAACATTTTTTTTATTTTTTTATTTTTGGTTTTTGTCCGGTACCGGGAACCGAACTCACGACCTTGCGCTTGCCAGGCAGGCGCTTTTGCCGCTGAGCTAAATCCCCAGCCCCATGGTGAACATTTTATTTGTTTTTTTTGGTGCTGGGAATCGGACTCAGGACCTTGCGCTTGCCAAGCAGGTGCTGTGCCACTGAGCTATCTCCCTGGCCCTTGGTGAACCCTTTAGAGCTTTCAGTGATACAAACAGCCTGCTGCGGCATGTGTGCTGTAGGTTTCCACCCCTGTTACTGGCTGGTATTCACCGGCCACACTTCCTAGTGAAGTGAGTATTAAAACTGCCCAAACCTCCACAATTCTGTGGAGCGTCATGAGTTTGAGGTCATTCTAGGCTACCTAGCAAGATCCTGTCTCAAAACAGAGAACTAGTAACTGCTTCTTGAGAGAGATGGAAGAGGGGACAGGCTCCATCAGGCCTCTGTGTGTCCCCAGCCATCCTGATGTGCAGGCTGTGACGGCGTGGCTTTTTGGGAACCTGCACCTGCTGTGTGAGCAGTTGGAAACATCCTGTCCGTCTGACGACACCACCAGGGCTATGCTTTCTGGTAGGGTCACCACAGGCAGGGCCTGGAGAATAGGCACCTGCATGGGTGGGGAATGAGACACTGGCAACCTCCATGGGCACGGGACCCAGCATGACACTGGCTCATCTGGGGCAGCTGTGGACTCACACTGACCTGGGAGCTGGGGATTCTAGTCAGGCAGCTGGGTGATGGAAGCCCCCAGCCCCGCTGCACTCAAGCCACAGACCCTTGCATTGCCAGTGATGCCCAGGAAGGGCCTCAGCACATAAAGGCTGGGAGACACCAGCAGCTTGTGGGTTTCTCCTTTGCAAGAGGTATTCTTCATGATGTTTGAGGGAGTGTGGCTCCTGGTGCTGGTCCCAGAAAAGTGAAGTTGAGGCTGGAGGTGGAACAGAGAGCCTCCTTAACTTCATGCTCTTGATTCCAACCTTTACAAAGGCATGAATTGCATGCCATCTCCCTCCGCGGAATGCAGGGCTTAGGTCCTCCTGCGATTGGGGCTGGCTACACATCATCCAGATATAAGCCATAACAGTATCAGGGAACATCCATCAGAAATTGCTTGGAATCTACTCTGTATTAAGAGCCCTGAATATAAACATGATTTATAAGCCTTTCCCTCTAAAGTAGGGTGCAGGAAGGACAGTGGCGTGGTGAATGACTGTGCTGGGACTGGGTGGCAGGGCCGACTGCAGTTTTCCCAGATCAGATGCTCTATAGGTGCTGGTCAGCTTTCCAAGCTGTGCCCACACCCCGCCCTCTGTAGTAGTACCTGTGTGATTCACAGCTGTTTGAAGACCATAGTGCCTTAGATACGTTGGGTTTATGCCTTTTCAGATTTTGTGCAGCTGTTGGTTTTGAGGGCATTTCAGGACAACTCGGATCTGGGAAGAACCATGGAGCCTGAAAAGATGCCTCAGGTTAGAGGAAGAGTGAGGTGGGAAGTTTGGAGAATTGGCTTTGTTTTCACAAAAGGCCATGGCCCAAAGAGGAACCCCCATCCACACTTTTACCCCTTTTGAACTTTCCAGGGCCAGTGGCTGGCACTCTGTCCATATTACAGTCTGAGCTCTCTGTGGGGGAGTCTGTGGGGGTATGAAGTGTCCTGCATGGTGTCCCTCTGAAGTCTGGGAGATGTGAAGAAAAGATACCGGCAGAGATACTTTCTCACCCAAGCTTTCTGGCCCCCACAGGTCTCCAGGGAATGGTCTTTAGCACCTGGCCTGTGCTTGCTGGGTTTTATTCAGACTGCCTGGCCAGGGCACTGTAGCACCCGAGAACATCTCACTGGACACTAGAGTACCTGTATTAGTTACTCTCTCATTGCTAAGACAACCCCTGACACCCACAAAAAAGGAGGAAGGGTTTATTTCAGCTCATGTTTTACTCCATCACTGGTTCCTTCCAAGGCAGGATGGCATGGCGCAGGTACGTGGTGGAGGAGAGCTGCTCAGGACATGACAGCAGGAAACAGAGTCAAATGGGGAGGAGGGAGATGGACCCTTCCAGGCTATGCCCATAGTGACCACTTCCTCCAGCCAGGCCCCACCTCCCATAGCATGTTTGTCTATAATCTCATCCATGGATTAATCCACTGATGAGTATCTTGCCCCCCATGATCCATCACCTCCCAAAGCCAAACCTCTGAGTACCTGCAGCTTTGGGCATCATCTAGATGTAAGCCATAACAGTACCCAAGACGCCCCAGCAGGCCCTTGTGCCCTGTGTGTGCCGATGCCGGGACTGTGGCTCTCGGCCTTGCTGAGAGCACTTGTGTCATGGCTGGAACTTGCAGAGGGGCTCATTGAGTCTCAGTTTGGGATAATTTCTGGCCTTAGAAGAAATCTTAAAAGTAATCCTTTCTGGAAAAAAAAAAAAAAAAAAGTAATCCTTTCTGGAAAGCAGTTCTCATTGTACTTTATATAATAGTTCTTTTGGGTGGCACATGCAGGTCACTGCTTGAAAATTGCCATATGTGCCTTGTCCTGACAGGTTGCCCTGAGTGTGCTGCAAAGAATGCTGAGCTGTAAGTTGATTCTCGACCTGGACTGTAAAGTTTCCGAATGTTGAGCCTTGTGTGAAGCAGGTGGTCCTATGTGTCACTGTTTTGGCCTGCTTCTGGTGCTCCCTCTGGGCCCCTGTGTGGCTGTGGTCTGTGTGCCCACCCTTGGCTGGTAGCCCTTCTGAGCAGTCATGTAATGTGCCCTTGGTTGTCTGCATGTGTGGGTGACTCTTCTACTTTGGAGACCTCAGTGCCTGAGGGCATTGGATGTTACCATGGACAGGTGCCATCTGGACATCTGGGGGCCTTGGGAGGCCTAAGAAAGTGACCCTGTCTGGGGGAGAGGGGAAGAGAGAGTGAGTGAGTGAGTTTGTGTGTGTGTGTGTGTGTGTGTGTGTGTGTGTGTGTCTGCATGCGTGTGACAGCTGTCTGTGCTGACGTGGTTTTCTATTGCACATTCTCTCCTCAGCTGTGCTGGACTCCTTGGCTGCTGGTCTTCAGGAGGAGTCTCCAGCTCACAAGGCGGTGAGGTCCTGGTATGTCTGGGGTGGGTGCTCCTGCTCGTCAGGACCAGGTAGCAGCACTGGTCCTGGGCACCGTACCCTGCCCTTCCTGATGACCTTGAGAAGGTTCTGCTGGCAGCTTGGCCTTTGCTCAGCCTCCTCTGCCCAACCTGCTCTGGCCTAGCAGAGGCCCCAAGGGTTGTTGCAGCTCCCCTTCCTGTGCCTGGGTGACGGCCTGTGTCCTGAGTGGCTGCTGCTTCCCCAGCTTGGTGCTTTCTAGAGCTGTGCTGTCCTTCACCTTCCAGCTCAGCTCACTGCTGCCATCAGCACAGACTCACCCACCTCAGTTCTCTCTCCAGGGCACATGGAGATGCACGGAGACAGACTGCAGTGGACGTGGGGGCTGGGGTATCCAGATGGGCAGGGCCTTAAGGGGAAAGTCTTGAGAAGCCAGGCGCAGTCCCCACTATTTCCAGCCTTCTCCATTGTTCTGTTTTCAGTAATTTGCCTAGTGTTCTATATGCCACAAGCACTGGAGCTGTACTTAATGGATGCACTTACCACTGGGTACTTTTATAGAAAGTAAGTGCATGTTAGTCTTCTCAGGCTACCACAGCAAAGCCAATTGACCATGGGTAAGAGCAGACCTGTCCCACGGTTCTGGATTCTTGGGGTTCCTTCCTGCAGCACTCACCAGGTGTGTGGAGAGGGGACTGCTGGTCTCTGGGCAAGGGCTCTAATGCCACCATGAGGCCCCTACAAAGATGGTCCCATCAGGGGTAAGGGCTTTACCATGTGACCTTTGCAGGGACACGGTCTGGTCTGTACTGTACAACCAGATTGTTGAAGTCGGTGTCCTTGGAGCCAGGTAGTAACTGACTGTTTTGGTTTTTAATGAGTTGCCAGTGCTTTTAAGATCAGACTTGCTCTGGCAGCTGGAAGGACCAGCCTCCTGACTCTGGGCTGTGTGCTCTGAGGTCTTGCCCTGTGGAGTTGGCCAGCAGGGCCGAGTCTGTGCCTCTTGTGGTGTCTTTGTCTGCACAGGGCTGACACTTGCAGTGCTAGGTGACCTGCAGGTAGCTAGTTTAATCAGTGAGACCACTGACAGTCACGTGGGGAGCTAGGGATGCAGGTCCCTGCAATGTGGGTGTGAGCGTCATGTCTGTTCCAAGGAGTCTTGCACACTTGTGGGTTCAGTGAGCTTCGGGCTGATGGTGACTTTGTGTTAACAGCCCTCAAGTACCCCTCAGGCCAGACTCTGTGCCCCCCATTTGCCTCTCATTTCCTCCTGGCCTGTCCCATGCAGGCCACTGAGTGCCTGACCTATCCTCCTTCCAACCCTCCAAGGGGTGGCCCTTTCTCTAGTGTCAGTAGCTGCTTTATGGACTGTATGTGCCACTCATGGCCCTATCTGTGCTCCACATTCAACAGCACCTTGGTGGGGAGGGTCTGTGAGTCCTGTTTCACATGGTAACCTGAGGCATGTGAAGTGGCTGAGTTTGCTGGGACCTGGTCCTGTCACACTGCTGTCCTTGATAACCTGGCCTCCATCCAGCCTGTTCTCCCCAGTCTCTGTCCAGTCTCCCACCTGCTCTGTCCTTCCTATTGTGCATGTCTTCTCGACACAACCTTCCTTGGATTCCACCTGAAGCTCATGGCTTCATGTCCTGACTGGCAGATGGCTATGCCTGCTAGCCAAGATGCCAGGCGTGGTGGAGGGGGCAGTGCTTCCTCCCTGACCTCCTCCTCTTCCTCCTGTGCTGTAGGTTGGATATGTTCAGTGCACACGTGTGTTTTGTGATTGCACCAGATCCTCTGAAAAAGTTCTTCCGTCACACACTGGTCCAGACTCTCACGCACAGCCCTGTGCTGAAAGGTAGGCCAGCCCTGCTGTACCTGCCCAGTGTACCCCCTGGTGCCTGGGTGATGCTCTGATGACCCCATTTGTGGCTCTGTCTTCCCTGGGATCCTGGGCTCTGAGTTGGGTGGTGTGGTTTAAGCCTCTAAGACACCTCCAGATGGTGAAGGACACTTTATCACTAATGTCTTTTTATGTGAAGTCATTTTCTGGCCTGGGGTATGGTTCCATAGTAGAATACTTGCCCAGCACATGTAAGGCCCTGGGCTCCATACTCAGCACCATGAAAAAAGATATGAAAGTAATTTCTTTTTGAGAAAATTTATGATTAAAAAAGAGAAGACAGAAGAATTGTCATCGGTATTGTCACCAAAACAGAGCTATCTTTAACATAAAACATTTTTTACAGCCTGTTCCTAAATGGGCTTTTAAAGGACAGAGTTGTACTGTGAATACCACAGTTTTATTTTATATGTCATTATAAACCTTTTCTTAAACAGTTCTGTAGCTTTTCCTTTCTGGTACTGGGAATTGAACTCAGGACCTTGCCAGATGGGCGCTGTGCCACTGAGCTATATCCCTGGCTGTAGTTTTTGTAAGTGTTCAGTTTCATGTCTTCTGCCTATGGGTGTCTCAGCCCGGACGCCAGGATCTTTCCTGTCTTTCATGGGCACTGACCTGCTGCTGTGACCTTGTGCACTGGGCTTTTGTGGCCTACGTGGCTGCAGGGTGGGCTGCCCAGGACAAAGGGCAGTGGGCTCCTGATGAGGCTGCAGAGGTCTGGGGATGGGGACTCCTGCTCCAGGCTAGCACCCCAGGACAGCACCCTGGCTCAGACTGATTATGGACAGTTTAGGGTTTCAAAGTAGCAAAATGTAACTAATCCTGAGGAAAATTACCTCATGAATGTAGTACAGAATTATCAGGAGGCAACTAGGCCAAACCCCCAGGACATCAGTGCGGTAGAGTGTAGTTTCCACACTTGTAAATTCAATCAACTGTGGAGTAGAAGTACTTGAAAAAATTGCATCTGTCCTGAAGGTGTGTAAACTTTTCCCTATCATTATTTTCAAAAAACAGTGCAATGCCGGGCATGGTGGCACACGCCTATAATCCCAAGCACTCGGGAGGCAGAGGCAGGAGGATCGTTGCGAGTTCGAGACCAGCCTGAGCTACAAAGTGAGCTCAAGGCCAGCCTGAACTGCATAGTGAGACCCTGTCTTAAAAAACAACAACAACAACAAAAACAGTGCAACAACTACTTACTAGGCACTTATCCTGTACTAGGTGTTGCAGTCACCTTGTGCAGGGCTGGTGAACATGGATTCTGTGCAAATCACCATTTCCTGTATATGGGAGACATGGGCATCTGCAGTGGGGATTGGGGGTCCTGAAACAGAACCCATGGATGCCAAGGGATGGCTGGTTGGCAAACAGACGTGGTAGAGAGTTGAAAACTACAGTTTCAAATAATTGTATTCCTCGGGGAAGCTTGAAACATAGCCTTTGAGAAGCTGACTCTCAGCTCAATCCTGTCTTTCCTCTCATAGTGTCAGATGCCATCCAGATGCAGAGAGAGTGGAGCTTTGCGAGAACACACCCACTGCTCACCTCTCTCTATCGCCAGGTGAGTGGGACTGGCCCTATGGTTCCTATCCTTGTCCCACAGCCGTCAAGTGCCATATCCTCAAGATGTGGTTGTTCCCATCCGGGCTCCAGCCCAGGGTTGGAAGAGCGAACTTGTCACCTGGTGGAACACCAGAGGCAAGAGCTCCTTCAGCTGGTGCTGGTGCTGAGGAGAGGAGAGATGCTGTGCGTCAGCTGGCACTGCTCCTAGCTGCGTCCAGGCTTTCCAGTAGGCAGTAGGCTGTGGCCTGAGGGAGGCAGGAACTTGCACTGTCTCTAGTGGCTGAGTTGTGGTGGAAGCACAGCTTTCCTTTTAGCTCTTCATGATGCTGAGCCCTGAGGAGGCTGTTAGCTGTCTGCAGGAAGTTCTGGAGGAGCAGGAGGTCAACTGGCAGCGTGTGCTGTCCTGCGTGTCTGTGCTGGTCATCTGCTTCCCTGAGGCACAGCAGCTGGTGAGAGGTGAGTAGGGCAGCCAGGAATGTTGTGCATACTGGTGGCAGCAGAACCTTGGCACTTGGTGAGTCCATCTGCAAGGCCCTTCCTGACCTGCGGACCCTGTGCCTAATTAGTGCTCAGTGCTGCTCCTGTCCGATGGCCCATGCTTGGCCCAAGGATGGACAACAGGTCTTCTGCCTGGCACATCCTCCTCCTGGATGGGCCTCTCGCCACCAGCCGATCTCATGTCATCTGTGGGCTGTGTCATGGTCTCGCAGATTGGGTGGCCCGACTGATGGCTGGTGCCTTTGAGAGCTTCCACCTAGACAGCATGGTCACTGCATTCCTGATTGTGCGCCAAGCTGCACTGGAGGGCCCTGCCGTGTTTCCATCCTATGCAGAGTGGTTCAAGGTGAGTTGCCTGGGAAGTCAGTTTCCAGACTGCGATGCTTTGGGCAGGAGTCTCTGGTTTCCCCAAGGAGTCAGTGTCAGACGCATTGCAGAGATGGCCTGCACAGACTTCCAGCTCGACGCAGAGGCTCTAAATCCCTCCAATTTCCTCTTGAGGACCCTGTCCATCCCTCTTGGAGGAGTCAGGAACCCATTGGGCAGGAGCTGACGACAGCACCTGCTCCTCTGCAGGACGAGCTGGGTATCCAAGGTGCACACTCTGGTCCTCCGAGCCCTGCCATCTCCCTGCCACTCTGTCTGCAGTGTGCCTCCTTTTGCTCTGATACTTTCACAGTAGTCCTCAAACCTCAGGCTCACCTGGAGGGGGCTCTGAAAATGCAAGCCTGGGGCCACCCAGACCCATAATGGGAAGCCTCAGGGGTCCAGCCAGTCCAGGCTGGGATGGGGTCCTCGAGGCATCAGCCTGGCTCTTTGTGAAGTTTTGGGTTTTCCCCATGCACCACTGTGGAGTTGATGTCCTTGAAGGCACTGGTTTCTGGAAGGCGCTTATCTGATATGTGGTTAGGGTGGGTGGTGGGTTATCCTTTCAGCACTCTGGGCCTGTTGCTCCTGCCTGCATGGCCCAAGCACCCACTGAGTGGATGGGAGCTGACCTCCCTGACCCTAGAACTCACCTGTATCTGGCCCTTGATACTGCTCACTTCCACGCCTGGTGTGTGTGTGCTGTGTCTGCTGCAGGGTCTTTGCCCTGTGGGTTGTGACAGCCAGGTGGTTTGGGTAGGGTTGTTGTCTCCCAGTCTGACTGACTTGCCCCAGGGCTCTAGCTCCTAAAAGGACGTTGATGAAAGAAATGCTGTGTGATGGTGTGGTGCTGGTTTCTTGTGCTTTTCCATTTATTTTTTTAAGTCAACTTTTTCAAGCTATAATTTAAATAAAATGCAACCAATTTACATTTACAATTGGGTGCATTGTGACAAGTATATCCTGTGTGTGTTCAGAATTTGAAGGTCTGTTAGTCTGTCTATACATATTCTGATGTATGAGACCGGGTCTCATGTTCCCCAGGCTGGCTGAACTCTTGGACATAGTCATCTTCCTACCTCAGCTTCCCCTACCACTGCACTCGGTTCTTAATCTATATTTTTAAAAATGTTAATAGGGCTTACATTTGCTAATCTGAGCCCTCTTGTCAGTGATGTGGTTTGTAACATATCACATTATACAGCTACCTAATTTTTTGTAACAAGAACTGCCTTTTCCCAGAGTGACACAGTGATAGCCAGGATCCAGCCCAGGGTGTATGTTGTTGTGAGTATCTCGCAGAAGGCTTCTGGGAATGGCAGGTCCCAGGCGGTGGGCGCCGTGTCAGCTCACCTGTGGTCAGCATGTCACTGAGGTTCAGGTCTCATGGAGCGAGTATCACCCAGAGATAGGGCGGCTTCATGTGGGCCTGGGTCTCCTCCCTCCCTTGTCGGTGAGAGAACCTTGGTGGGATGTGGATGTGGTGAAGATGACCCTGGCTGGGTTTTCTGGGTCTTTAACTGTGGGTGTCAGGCGGTTTTCCTGGTGTCTCTGAGCTTGGCTTTTCCCTAACTGTCCTTAGACGCAGGAAGGCATTGTATTTCCTGATTAATCTGGTGGATTTTTGTGTTTGTGATGCCACAACACATGAAGGAGTTGGCTGACTGTGTTTGCCATCCAGGTTTACATGCTGCAGTGGGGCCTTGTCCTACCCTGGCGTCATAAGGGGCCTACTTTCCCGTGTTGCCATCCCACATTCACACAATCTCTCTATGGGCTCCTTGGTGATATACTCAGGCCAGCGCCAGTTTGGACTCTCCTTCCTCCACAGTTGGTGCCAGCTTTGGCCAGGCCCCGTCGTATTGCCTCTGTCCTGGAAGGTCTGCCCTGGCATACTCTGCCTTGTCTCATTCTAATGTGTGGCTTTAGTGTCCTGAGGGCGACCTCTTTGCCTTTGCCTGCGTTGCAGGGGTTGTGCCAGCTCACACGCATATTTGGGAGTTTTGGTGTGGCCAGGAGTGTCACTGTCAGACAGAATGAGTGTGTTGCTGGGTAATAAGCTTGAGTGGGTTGTACCCTTCGGGGCCGCAGGAGAGTTCCACAGTTACTGTTCCCTATAGCAAACTATTTCGAACTTTCTTTGAATGAACTTTATTTTTATTTTTTGGGTCAGGATCTCCCTATATAGCCCAGGCTGGTCTCAAACTTGCAGCAGTCCTGCCTCAGCCTCCTCAGTGCTGGGATTATAGGTGTGCACGACCACATCTTGCTGTCTTTGAAAGACTTTCAGCTCGTCTCTTCTCTGGAGGCACAGTGGTGGGCTCTTTAACTCACTTTAAGGTTCCCTTTTGTTAGTATCAGGCTTCTGTGTATGGATGACACAGCTTACAGGGTGGGTGTCTGGTGGCAGGGATCATGTTGTCTTTTCCCCAGGCCTCCTTTGGGAGCTCGAGTGGTTACCACAGCTGCAGCAAGAAGGCCTTGGTCTTCCTCTTCAAGTTCCTGTCCGACCTCGTGCCCTGGGAGGCCCCCCGGTACCTGCAGGTGAGGAGCCACATCTGTGCCTCCTGCAGACCTTCCAGGCTTGGGCAGCCTCTCCTTTCCTTTCCTAGGTGGTTGTTGAAGCCCACTGTGGCAGGGATGGAGACAGGGGCACAGATCATAGGAGCTGCCTGCAGCCCATCCAGGAGAGGCAGGATGGGCCACAACACAGAACAGTGCCCCATGGCCAGATTGGGCTCAGGAGACACTGTGAGCTACTGCCAGTTAGAGGATCCCACCCTAGCTTTCAGAAAATTGTTCATTTTGTATACCCAAGGAGGAAGATCTGGAAGGGTATACCCCAAGACTCCCAGTGGTCCTAACACCCAAAAGTGGAAGTAAAGAAACAGGACTTCATATTAGTTTATTATTTGAATTATATGTGGGGTTTGTTTGTTTGAGATATGTAGCTCATGTAGTTCAGATTGGCCTTGAACTCCTGGTGACCCTCCTGCCTTGGTCTCCAAGTGCTAGGATTACAGGTGTGCTATCACGCCTGTCTCTCAGCCTCTGCTCTTGTTAGACCTTTGCCTCACACCCCAGAAAGGACAGTTGGGGGCTGTGCACAAGTGAGGGCCCTGCTGCCATTCAGGGACGGTGGGTCAGGTCCCCCTCCTGCCCTGAGTTCTGGGTCCCCTTTCCTTCTGTGCCATGGTGTTTTTGATTAAGTTAGGGTGAGACACTGCCTCATGGCAGAACTATGAACCCCACCATCAGCATTGTGGTGCCCATCCTGGGGCCAGGGTTTGGGACCTAGGTCTCTCCTTGAGCTACCCGCTAGCTCTCTTCTCAGACCCCTCCCAGAGCCTGGCCTCAGCCCGTACAGGCCTAGTCTTTCCCACTGTTCTGTGGTTGACTCTGTATCCTTTGTCCCTTTACCAGAATGTGGCCAGAGTCTGTGGTATGGGCTGCAGGTGGCCTATGGTGCCCCCACCAGCAGCACCCACTTGCATGGGGTTCTTTCTTGACTTCTGGCCTCTTTGTTTTGGGCTCTGCTTTGCTGGTGTCTGGCTCTGCTCAGCATTATTCCTCTGCCATCGCTGGAGGTGACTCACCATGCTGTGTCTGCCCCAGGTACACATTCTCCACCCGCCATTGGTCCCGAGCAAGTATCGCTGCCTCCTTGGTGACTATGTCTCGCTGGCTAGGACACGGCTGACTGACCTCAAGGCAAGTCACTGACCTTCCTAACCTGTCCAGCAGCAGCCAGCGACTGCCTTCTTTTTCCAGTTTTCATTTTTCTCTTCTGAAGGTTTCCTTGGAGAACATGGGACTGTATGAGGATGCAACCTTGAGTGGAGACATTGTAGAGGTAATGTGGCCCTGGCTGCTCTGCCGTCTCTGTCTGCTGCTCTGTGCTGTGACTTGAGCATTTGTCCTCTGATGTTGTACCTGATTTGCCTTTGGTGCAGCCAGCGGCATCCTCCTGGGGGGTGTTTTGCCGAAAGTGTCTGCAGGTGTATAAGATGGATGGCTGGGGGGCTGCAGCACAGAGGGTCCCCTGGGATGGAGGAGTAGTCTGCCTGGTTTTCCTAGGAATTGCAGAAAAGTGCCAACAACTTGCATGGGAACAAAATGTTAGCTGGCCATGTGATCTGAGTGTCGCTGTAAAAACAACCTTTTATACTTTTTTATGACTTTTAAAGTTGCTAGTTGCGAGAGAATATTTATAGGTGCTGTTAGTGTTTTGTGAAGGAATATCATGTAGTTTTCCGTTTAACATTTATTGCTGTTCAAAAGTTGCCATTTCACCATTTTTTTTAATCTCAGAAATTAAGCCTTCTGTTTCCTAAATGAGTGGCAGAAAGGAAAGCCAGGGTGAGCTGCAGCCAGGCAGAGGGGACTGGTAGGCGGGGGCTTCTCGGGGGTGGGGCTGTCCCCAGGATCCTTACAGGGCCTGGCCTGAGTGTCTGAGGGCAGAAAGCCGCAGCATTTTGCTTGTGTTGGGTTCATGGGAGTCCATGTCCTCTTGCCCTCGGTACCACCTTGTCCTTTAACCTCAAGCTGTGTAGAGACTCAGGGCTGCGAGGCCGGGCAGGCTTTGCCAGCTTTAGGTGCTTCCTGTCTTCTCCCTCACATCTTTGGTGTCTCCCTTCTTCCTGGGTGGGAACCAGCCCCGCAGCCAGGCGGCCCAGGATGTAGAGAAGGCCATCTCGATGTTTGAACACACAAGGAAAGTCCCAGTCCCCGTCCTGGAGGCCAGGTAGGGTTGGGGTACTGAGGGTGTTGGGGTGGTAGGCCCTTCAGAACGTGACCAGGTGTGTTCACAGGGCTGCATGTGTGCTGAGGTCACAGTCTGTTTGTGGGAGATGGAGCTGGGGTGTGGCTGTCAGGTCAGAGGCGAGGCTCTGGGTCTGGAGTGAATTCTGGAATTGTGCTGCCAAAACTGCCTCCAGGTGGAGCTCCAGATCATGTGGGGCAAGGGTGGGAGGACAGGGGCCACAGGCAGCTACAGTTGTTTTAGTTAATGCTTTCTTGGGGATCATCAGGTAGAGCTAGTCCCAGAAACTCAGCAACAAAACTTTATTGAATCCAGTGTAATCTCAAATATTTTGAATCATGGTTGTTGCCAGTGTGGGTGGACTGATTTTAACTAGGGACATTTTGAGATCAGTTCTAAGAAGACCTGGACTGGCCCAAAAGCAGTCCTCATGGCTTTAGAGTATCCCAGGTTCTGTGACCCAACTCAGGATGAGTTGAATGTGGTCCTGATTCCCTGGAATGCATGACTGTTGCAGTGCAGACTACCCTTGGCAAGATGTGCCCCAGGACAGTGTAAAGGACTTAAAAACAAACAACAGAGCCATAGCTGAGTGTGGTGTGGCACTCTAGGATGCTGAGGGAGGAGAAATACAAGTTGAAGTCCCAGAGAGACCTTGTCTCAAAAGTGGTGAGGGGCCGGGGATGGAGCTCACTGTGAAGGCCCAGTGTTGCAGAAACAAGTATCAGAGCATAGAGGTACAGCCACCCCTCTGGGCTGTCAGGACTGTGAGTGGAAGATGCCTTTCTCTTGGCTAATTATGGTGCTGTCTGTCCTTGTGCTGCAGCATATTCAGGAGGCCCTACTATGTGTCCCACTTCCTCCCTGCTCTGCTCACGCCACGTGTGGTGAGTTGCACATCACAGTGTCTCTGGGAAGGAGGGCACCCTTGTGTGTGGCTCACACACTCCTCTTCCTGCCCCAGCTTCCCGAGGTTCCTGATGCACGGGCGCTGTTCGTCGAGTCTCTGAGGAGGTACTCCGGGGATGTGGGAGGCAGCCGTTTCCAGCGGGGCAAAGCATGATGGTTCTTATAGAGAAATGTGCATATTGAACATGTTTTATATGTGAAATATTGGCTCACATATTAATTGGTTATGATTTTTTTGAACAAAACAAGATTTGTGTCACTGAATAACATCACTTGGTATCTTCCTTGAGTGAATATTTGGGATGAGTAGTCTGGCAATGAGAGTGAGTGTTTGGCAATGAGAGTGAGTAAACTTGGGGAAAGGAGAGTGTGGACAAGGAGGTAAGAGCCCCTCCCAAGCCTGCACCGGGAGCGCCCAGAGACACCTGTGCACCCTGTCCGGAGTCAGCCAGCTCACCTGCCCTGGGGCCCAGCAGCGGGGAGTGGCGGTGTTGGAAAGGTTTTCCTGAAGTACGAGGAAACTAAACCCTGCTTTCCAGTGAATTCTAGAGAGAGATGGAGAGGAGAGTGCGCCTGGAAAGGGACTCTTTTCTCATCTTACAGTAAGACCATTCTCTGGGGTTCTTACTTATATTGGTACTGGTAATCCAACTCAGGGCCTCGTTCTTGCCAGGCAGGGGCTGTACCACTGAGCTATATCACCAGCTTTATTTTTATTTTTGATATAAAATATTTCATATTTACAGAAGAATGCAGATAACATTTTAAAATACCTATTTAAAAAGTACCCAGGAACCTCTACCTATATTTTGCTATCTTTGCTTTTCTAAAAAAAAACAAAATTGGGAGCAGGGTATGGTAGCACACGTTTCTAGTCTCAGCACTGGGGAGGCTGAGCCAGGGTGAGTGCTGTGGGTCTGAGGCCAGCCTGGGCTATATAGTGAGACTGTCTCAAAAAATAATAATAAATCAATAAACAGTTGGAACCAGGGCCAGGGTGCATGGCTATAATCTTACCACTTGGGAGGCTGGGGCAGAAGGATCAAGTTTGAACTCAGCTAGGCAACTTAATGAGACCCTGTGTCTCAAAATAAACTTTAAAAAAAAAATTTTTTTTTTTTTTTCAGTAAAAATGATACAGGGTTTCAAAACAAAATGATAGGAATTAACAGTGGTTGTTATATTACATATTGTTATCTTCCACAGAGCTGCTCAGATTACCAGATGTAAGAATGAAGAATTGATCAACAAATTAAAGAGAATAGAAAATGATAAAAGAAAACATTAGAAATGATATAGAGCTTCACTAAATAAGATGGTAGAAATTCAACAATGGTTGTTGTACTGCATAGTGTTGTCTTCAAATTAGTTGTTTAAAAATCTTACTTGTAGAGTCAAAGTCTCTTTAGTCTGGCTTCTTGACCTTATTACCTACTCCTGTCCAGGGAAACCCTTATCCTGACAGTGTATGATCCTTCCTGCCTTCCTGCCTTCCTGCCTTCCTGCCTTCCTGCCTTTCTGTCTTCTCGCCTTCCTGCCTTCTTGTCTTCTTTTCTTGTTTTTTTGCTTTGCTTTGCTTTGCTTTGCTTTGCTTTGCTTTGCTTTGCTTCGCTTCGCTTCACTTTGCTTTGAGATAGGGTCTTGCTATGTTGCTGAGGCTGGCCTTGAACTCACCATAAAGCTCAGGCTGGCCTCAAACTTTCCTGCTTCCTGAGTGCTGGGATTACAGGTGTATGCTGCCATGGCTGGCCACGTTTGTATGATTCTTTCCTTTATTGTTCTAGTGTGTGTGTTAGATGGTGAGCAGAAAGTACACACATCAGATCAGGTTTTGGTCTAGGGCTACCAAAGTGTGTGTGTTTATTGTTCTAGTGTGTGTGTTAGATGGGTGAGCAGAAAGTACACACATCAGATCAGGTTTTGTGCTTTTCGGTTGTGAGTGGTACCGTGCATATCATTCTAGAAGTGTGTTTTCACTCACCTTGTCCTGGGCTTGTTCATTGACTTTAACTGCTCAGAGGAGCTGAGCTTTGTGCCCAAGAACTGCCATGGTCACACACTGCCTGCTGCACAGGTCTCGTGGATTGTGACTGCCTCATGAGTTTATCCACTCCCATGTGGTTGGACTCAGGCTCTCTGCAGTTTTATGCTTTTAACAGTGCTTCAGTGAACATCCTTGTGTCTCTGTGTAAAGATTTTTGGAATTTTCAGTGAATTCCACTGGTTTTATAGGTTAACTTGAAGACAGTGGACTCTTATAATACTGAGTTTTCTGTTCCATTGTATATCTTTTTATCCATAAAGATCATGTGCATCTTTTGTTAGATTTCTAAGTACTTGGCTTCTGCTGTTACTGTGAACAAGACAGTCTGACTTGCTGTTTTTGTTACTGCTGAGGTTTAAGTAACTTGGGATCTGGTAGCCTTGCTGAGCTGGGTCTTAGTACTTGGCTAGTTGGCTGTATTTCCTTCATAGATAATCATATTGCCTACAAGAACAAATGTTTGTCTCTTTCTTTCTGATTTTTAAAAAATGCTGCACATAATATACTTAAATGGCATTCACACTTGGGAAAAGAAAAGATTTAAAACCATACAAGGAAAATTTGAGTTACTCAGTGGTACCTTGGTTCACAAACTTAATATGTTCCATGATTTTGGAAAAGATGGCCATGTTTGTGTTTGTGTGGTACAGATGATGTTTGTCACCGATGCAGAATTTGCAAACAAAAACAAAATTTTAGCAAGCACTTCTGTTTGTAAACTGAAGCCCTACTGTAAACTTCTATTATATAAGCATTACTGGACATTGTACAAAGTTAGAAGATATATTTCAAGCAAAAATATGGAGTAAAAACCTGACATTCTTAATTCATAGAGACTACCACAAAAACACTCTAGTTCCTTCCTAACTTTTATGTCCCTTTTTGTTCTACTACAGTGAACTTGTAGTTTAATGTGGGACTGTAGGAGTTGTAAGCTTCGCCTTGCTCCTCACTGTGGTGGGGGGAGCACTTCTCGAGCTGTACCATGAATTGCGTCTGCTGTAGTCTGTTGTGTGTGTGCCTTGTGTCACATTGAGAGGTCTGTCAGTGGCCTTGCTGCGGATTTGTACAGCAGTGTGTTCCAGGCTCCTCATGCTCTTTTCCCCTAAGCTGTCCCCATGATTGATTGCTCTGATAGTGTCCTCGCTGGAACAGCCTCTACTCGGTGTGGTTCTTTTGCCTAATGAGCTGCTGATTTATTTTCATGACTATCTGCACCTGTGTCTGGACTCTTGTGTGATGCTGCTTTGGCATCGAGGGTTTAGCACCTCTGGATGGGCTGGGCGGCCTCCTCTCTTCTCTGGAATGGTTTATGTAAGGCAGGGATTCTCTGTTGCTGGAGTTGTGGCAGAAGTGACTGCATAACCTGTAGTCCTGGACCTTTAGTCCAGTGACTTGTGGTATCAGAGACTGGGCCACTGACTCATTTTCATGGGTGGTTATTAGTCAGGTTTTTAACCCATCCTGAGACTTTTTGTAGATTTCTAGAAATTCACTCATCGAGGTTTTGAAGGTTCACATGGTGACAAAGGGCTACCAAAGATCCTGTCTCAAAAAAATAAGTGTAGCATAGATGCCCTGAGAAGATGGTGCTAGGAGGCTGCCCTGGGTGCCCTGCAAACCCAGGCCAGGACACAGAGAAGAAGGGGGACAGCACCGTGCTTTAGTATAAGACCCCACAAGATGAATCTGGGCCAGTGTTAAGGCTGTGGGTCAGCATTTTTCTTAGGATTACTCATTATTTATGACTAATAGTGACATAGGACAGAATCACTTAAATCTATACATATATTTAAAATCATGCCTATGGTTCTTTATTGGTTTATGTTTATAGTACATTATGATTACATTCATCATGGAGAATCAGTACATGTACATTTCTTAAGCGCCTTCCTTCCCCTCCCTGCTATGCTGTTTTCTTTCTAGGGCTGTACTCTGTAGTGCTGTACAGTTCATTTAAATTTAGTATCAGTTTTTTATTTTATAACAGCTTTGAAAGTATGGACTTGAGAATTGACTTGGATGTTGTCTTCTGATCCAGGGCAGACAAAATCCCCCCGTCTATGTACGCTGCCTACTGCCAAGCCTGTGCCACTGCTGAGGAGGAAAAGCCGGAAAGTAAGGCTCACAGCCACCTTTTGCTGTGACTCTCAAGGATGAGCATCTGTCACCTGATGCCTGTGTCGGTGACCTCAGACTGGTCGTGTGCTCAGGCCAGTGACCCTAGGCTCTGTCCCTGCACTCTGGGGGCCAAATGAGACCCTGGCCCTTAGGCTTGGTGGCCTGAAAGCAACTGACTTGCACTGTCCAGGGTGTGTTGTGCTCTGGAGGCCACTCTGTCACACTTACCGTGCCTGGAGGCCACTGTTGGGGTCAGGGGCAGGTCCTGGTGGGTTGCGGGCTCTGCTTTCTGGGCTTTTAGCTAGAGTATGAGTAGGGGTCTTTCTGCTCACAGGGGACAGGGACTCAGGCCTGGTCTAGCTCCCATGGTCCCATTCCTAGGGCCCTGGTTCTACCAGCTATGTGGGCCACAGTGGCAGTGCTGTCAGGAGCAGGTCCGTTTGCTGATGATGGCACTTCACTGGCAGATGCTGATGTCTCCTTGTCAGCTGTGTGGGTGCTGCTGTTTTAGGTTCTCTGCCACCCGAGGCCCAGTGGGCTGTGTGACCCTGTTCTGACCAGCTGCAGTCCTCTGCTTCGCTCTGGTTCCAGGTGTCTCCCTCTTACACTTAGACCATGTCCCACAACCGTGGAGACCAGAGATGTGAGTGGGCAAAGAATGGCAGCCCTGACCTGTGGAACCATGTGGTGTTGACATGTGGAGGGGCTGTGGCCACAGGCTGAGGCCTACCCCTGTGGGGCTCTGGAATATCTTCTCTCAGTGTCTAACAGGGCTCAGGGACAGAACTCAGAGCCTGGTTACTAGTTTCATTTTGGGGGAAGCCTCCAGCACAGCAGCATACCGTGTGCCTGTGCCTTTTCCAGCCACCCAGGACTTGTTTTATTCTTCACGTGTATGTGGCATATTTTCCTTTTTATGAGGCTCATGTGGAGGAGGACTGGACCCATGTCCTGCAGAATGTAAGCGTGACTTATTTTTTTTTTTGGTTTTTCTCCGGTACCGGGAACCGAACTCACGACCTTGCGCTTGCCAGGCAGGCGCTTTTGCTGCTGAGCTAAATCCCCAGCCCTGTAAGCGTGACTTAATGAGTAGGGGCCATGGTTGGCTCTGGGACACTGCTGAGATAAATCATCCTTCAGCCTTGATCCTGACTCTGCCCTTCAGCTTTCAGGACTGTACTAGTCTTTTTTTTTTTTCATTTTTCTCTTATTTTTTTGAGACAGGATCTCTCTGTGTAGTTCAGATTGCACCTAACCTCACTATGTAGCCCAGGCTGGCCTTGAACTCATGGCAATCTTCTTGCCTTAGCCTCCTGAGTGCCAGGATCACAGGTGTGTGCTACCATGCCCGGCTTTAAACTTGTTTATAAATGTCTCGTTTTGGTGGGGATGAAACCCAGGGCCTGGTGCATGCTAGGCAAGCACTCACCACTCAGCTGCACCCAGCCTAGAATGTGTTGATTTTTGCTGTGACATGGAGCAGCCAGCTCAGAGAGGACTTCATGTGCCTCTACGTGTGCTCTTCAAGCCTGTATCCGACATCTGTACACAGCTATGGGTAAATGAAGGGTCCTATGGCCAGAGGTTAAGTTCCCCCACCCTCAGGTGCAGAGCCAGGAATGAGGACAGAGCCCAGCTGTGTGGAAGAGGCCCTGGGGCCACTTAGGACTGCACTAGAACAGCTCAGAGCCTTGATGACCGACCCTACACAGTACGCCGGTGAGGACTCTGTATGTGTATGTGTGTGTGTGTGTGTGTGTGTGTGTGTGATAGGGTGTGTGTCCTGGGTGAGTGTGCACAGCTACAGTGGGAGCCCACGGGGATGTCTTCCCTGTGGTCCAGCATGCTTGCCTGCAGCAAGGTGGTTGCTGAGGATGATGGGAGATGGGCCAAGGGCGGCTGCTGCAGCCCTCAACAGGAGCTGAACGTTCTTCTGTTGGACATCCCAGAGGAGGAAACCAAGGGTAGTTACGGGAGGCATAGTTTTCTTTCTTACCCTGACAAGGGGTGTGAGGTTGAGCACACGGGACTGTTGTATAGAGCAGTGCTCACCTGTGAAGTGGGAACACACGGCTGCAGAGCTTTGTGTTCCCAGCAGCTCAGACCTGAATCACTGACTCTCGGCCTCATGAGTTCCTTTCATTATGATGAATGCAGGATCTAAATCAAGCCCCATTTTCCCTGAGCACATTAAGTGCCTGAAGCTGGATAATTTATAAGAAAAGAGCTTTACTAATACCACATTTTTGGAGGCTTGAACTCCAAAATTGGCAGTTCCCGTGGGCTTGGCTTCACCTAGTGTAGTGGAGGAGCAGGATCTGCTTGTGAGATGGAGCCAGAGAGGCTGAGGAGGGTCAGTCTGGCTGTTTAGGACAGCTGACCAGTTGTTCTCTTCTGAGGACTACGCCCCACTGCCATGTCACCTTGCTCCAAACTTCCCTCTTACAGGTCCCACCTCCCAGCACCACCATTTGTGGGACCAAACCACACCCAAGCCATAACACTTAAGTGTGACAGATCTTCATTTCTTCTGGGTGGGTTTCATTCAACTCGAAAAAGCCTGATGTGTGTGGGGGGCGGTGCTCACTTGCTGTGTTCAGGCCATGTGCACGATTACAAGAGTGTGACCTTTCAGAGTTGTGCTCAGGTAGAATGTGGTAGTTATTATTTGGGGTTTTGTTTGTTTGTGTATTTTGTTTTGGCCCTATTCAGAATTGAACCAGGGGCTTTGTACTAAGCTACATCCCCAGCCCTTTTTATTTTGAGACAGGATCTTGTTAAGTTGCTCAGTCTGAGCTTGAACTTGTGATCTTCTGCCTTAGCCTCCTAGACAGCATCACCATGCCCAGCTCCCTGCTCTTGTCGTTTGGGGGGTGAGTCGGGTCCTTACTGTGTTGCCCAGGCTGACCTCCATCCCTGACTCCAGGGCTCAAGTGACCCTCTCATTTCAGCTTTGAGGCTACCAGGATTGTTGTCATGTCCTGCTCCTGCTCAGAATGTGGGGTTTGAGCCTTTAGGAAGAATTCCACTGAGAGGGGCTGGGGATTTAGCTCAGCGGCACAGCGCCTGCCTGGCAAGCGCAAGGTCGTGAGTTCAGTTCCCGGTACCGGAAAAGAAAAAAAAAAGAATTCCACTGAGAGAGCAAAGGCTGATGAGTGTTGGGCCAGCTGTGTTTCCAGCAGCAGTGAGGCAGCTTTCATGCTGCAGTGTGTGACTGTGTATAGTCCCCAGAATGGGGCATCTGAGAGGCTTGTGCTTAATTGACATCACTGTGTGTGGACAGCGAAGGCACTGTCAGCTCTCGGCCAATCCAGAAGGGAGTAGTGGACACGTCCGGCCTGTGCTGCCCACACTATGATTGGTACTATGTAGCCCGTGTGTCAGGGGTCTTTTTACTTGCCACCAGCAGTGTGGATAAACACAGCTTCCACTGCAGGATTGGGCTCGCTGGGTAAGTCGCCCCTGTGTGCAGGGGCTGGAGGCAGGCGGAATGGCCTGGCTTCCCTTGAGCCCTGTGCCCCTGGGCGTGGTTCGTCACACTTCCCACTTGTCTCATGGTTCCTCTCTCTACAGCTCTGTCTGCTCAGATGGCTGTGGTTGCTGAAAAGCTTGATGTTGTCTTGGGTCGCAGGAGGGATGAAGTCTGTTCTGAGGAAATGAAGATTCAGCTCAGCTCCCTTGCCCCAGATGTCCCTCGGCAATACCAGGTGGTAGGTGTGGGCAACGTGCAGCTGTTGAGGGCCTGGGCACCGCTCTGCCTGGGGCTGGCTGGGCCACCTCAGCGTATTTGTATAGGAGCTCTTTTACTTTTGGGGGGTTTTTGGTCAGAATTGAACTCAGGACCTTGATCATGGTAGGCAAACCGTCTACCGCTGAGCTGCATCCCCAACCCATTTTTCAGTTTTATTTTGAGACATGATCTCACTAAGTTCCCCAGGTCTTGCACTTGTAATCTTCATGCCTCAGCCTCCCAAGTAGCTGGGGTTATAGTTGTGCACCACCATGCTGGCCTCCTTTACATTTTTAAGAAATATATGTGATAGAGGGCGCTTGCAGCCTCAAAGCTTAAAGTATTTGTCCTCTGGCCCTTTGTCATCCAAGTTTGCTGGGTCTCATTACTCTGGCAGGGGCTAGAGTTGAGGACAGCCATCCTGGGACCTACTTGTCCCATGACTTCCTGTGACCCCTTTTGGCACAGCTGTACCTTGGTGCTGCCTGCTTGAGGCTGTAGCCTCAGGTGTCTCTGTCCCCTCCAGGTTGTGGATCTGTTGCTGACGGCTTTCTGTCAGGACCTGATAGTAGCCTGCAGCTTTGTTCCCCCAGAGAGGTGAGGACGCAAGAGGGTCACTGGGCGGTCATGGGGGACAGGCCGCATTTTCTGACAGGGACGCTATGTGAGACTTGCCCATCTGTGTGCTGTAGGGACTGCCTGGCCCTTGTAGAGGCCTCCTGTACTGGGGCCTGTTACAGAAGGTCTTGTGGGCTGTGAGTGCCAGCATGGGGCTCTCTGCCCTCCCTATAGGCAGGGCCCCTGGGCCACACTCTTTGTGAGGACCTTATGTGCTCGTACGCTGTTGCCTGCTGTTCTTGCCCGGCTCTGCCAACTGCTGCGTCATCAGGTATGCTATGCCACCCTGGCCTGGCCCGGCCCTCAGGGCTTGGGCAGCTGTCACAGCTCTGCCTCCTCCCTGTCTCCCTTTCAGGGTCCACGCCTGAGTGCCCCACATGTCCTGGGCTTGGCTGCCCTGACTGTCCACCTGGGGGAGACCAGGGCCACACTCCCAGAGGTGAACACAGGCTCTGCTGCAGCCACCCACAGCCTTCCTGTCCCTGAGTTCCTCCATCGCCTCCTGTCCTGCCACGCCGGGGAGTCTGCCCTCTTCTGCCTAAAGTGAGCTGGTTCTCACTCCTCAGTCATGGCCTTGCTCCCTGCCCCCCACCAAATAACACATGCTCACCAGATAAAATTATAGAAGACCGGCTGGGATGCAGAGTAGTAGAGCTTGTACGTAGTATGTATGAGGCTCTGGGTTTGGTCCCCAGTGCCAAAAATAAGCGGAAGCCAGGCGTGGTATCTGCCTTTGCAGAGGGGGCAGTTTGTGGAGACAGCTGGGTTGGACTGAGGCTGCATGAGGATTTCTCTAAAGCAAGGACTGTTCCATCAGCCCATGTGGTTACAGAGTGCACTAAATTCAGTTCTGTGCAGTTCAGTTTCCCTTTATCCCGGCTGGTGGTGGTTTTGTGATAAGGGGGTTGAACTCAGGGTCTTTGCATTGAGCTTACAGACAAGGTCTTTTTTTTTTTTTTTTTTTTTTTTTGAGACAGGGTCTTGCTATGCAGTTCAGGCTGGCCTTGAGTTCACTTTGTAGCTCAGGCTGGTCTTGAACTTGCAATGATCCTCCTGCCTCAGCCTCCCGAGTGCTGGGATTACAGGTGTGTGCCACCACACCCAGCTGAGACAAGATCTTTTTAAGGCACTAAGTTGCCCCAGCAAGGCTTGAACTTGCAGTCCTCCTGCATCAGCCTCCTAGAATGCTGACATTACAGGTGGCACCACCATGCCTGGCTTGTCCTGTTTGGCATGGACCAAGTTGCATATCGTGCCTTGCTCCCTGTTGTGGGTCCTGTGTGGCGGGACACGGGGATGGCTGTGTGAGGACCTTCTTCTCTGTCACAGGTTCTGCACGGCAGCGATCAGCTACTCTTGGTGTAAGTTCTCCCCTCAACCCCAGGGAGCCCTGCGCAGCTGTTTATCTCCAGGCCTTATCAAAAAGGTGGGTCTGCACTCCCACCTTTCTGTGAGTCTCAGGTGCAGCTCTTTCCAGTCCAGGGGTCCTCAGCGTGGCAGCACCCCATCAGGCTGGTGGTGGGCCATCTCGATGCTGGGTGCTGCCATCCTTCCAGGTCTGAGTGACTGGGTAATGTGACAGCTTCAAATCTCTGCTCCTCTTTTAAAGACGCAAATACTGATACTTGGAGGTACAGGTCAATTCAAAGATAAGTGCTCTTAAAAAGTATTTTTCCCTTTAAAGAAACATCCTGATTCCCTTTGTGTAGTGGTGCTTGTAACATTTATCAGAAGGGTAGAAATTTCAAAAGTGACAATAAAGTTACAGTACAAGTTAGGGTTACTGTTTTACAGATTCTTTTAGTACTGAGAATAGAACCCAGGGTGTCAAGCATACTGGGCAAGGGGTCTATCACCAAGCCACCCAGCCCTCCTTTCACTGAATTCTGATGAACACCTCTGTGTCTAGAACAAGTGATTTTCAACTCCAGGCTTCACATTAGAACAAGCTGAGAGGCTTTGAAAGTCCAGGCTCCTGGGCCCTGTGCTGATAAATTCAGCTTCAAGAAGCAGTGCTGGGGATCTAGGCTGCACCCAGTTTGTGTTGTTTGCTTTGAGGGACCTAGGTCCAGGGGCCAGAAAAATAGTGAGGTTAGGAGAGAGTCTCGCAGGCTCCCCACAGACTCATTGGGGGAGCCAGGGCCCTCGAGTAGCCAAGGGTAATCTCCTGCGAAGGATAGGACAGGCAGGAACTGTCACAATAAGACATTGGGCTTGTCCTTTTGGCACCCTTAGTGAAGACCCGTGCTGGAGAGCACCAGAGGACACTGGCCAGCACCAGCCCCAGGCCAGTTGGATGTGCCTACAGACTGTGCACCTCACTGCCAGCCAGGGTTCTAGGTGTGGCGGAGCACCTGGTGGGATCCTGCACTTTGGAGCAGGCCTCCTGAGGGGTGGCTGTAGGCCACTGCTCCCAGCCTCACTGAGGACTCGTCCCCATCTGTCTCAGTTTCAGTTTGCTGTATTCAGATCAGTTTCAGAGGCCCGAGAGCCTCGCCCTACGGAGAACGAGGCTGGCCCTCCCTGGAGACCCTCGTGCCTTCTTTCTGCAGACTGGCAGAGCGCTGCACTTGCTCTGTGGCGACAGAGCAGCTTCCAGGAGCTGCTGGAAGAGCCAGAGTTTCAGGTAGGTCCCTGTCTCCTGTGTGACACCGTCTGTCCTTGGGTCTGTGAGGCTCCGTGTCTGTGGTTGAGACCTTCCTGGGTCACTGTAGCTTCACATGTAACTCACATGTAACAAGGAACTGCAGGGAGACCTTGGTGTGCCCTGCCCAAGTCTCTCAACAGTCACTTCTTGCAGACAAGTTTTAAGGGTGAATAAAATTACTTTTTTTTGTTTTTGTGTTTTGGGGGTTTTTTTGGTCTTTTTGAGACAGGGTTTTCACTATGCAGTTCAGGCTGCCTTGAACTCACAATGTAGCCCTGTCCTTGAACTCCCAGTGATCCTCCTGCCTCAGCCTCCTGAGTGCTGGGATTATAGGTGTGCACCACCATACCTAGCTCCATGGCAATGTGTATTTACAAGTACCTGCCTAAGTGGTGTTGGTTAGTTTCACACCAGGGTTCATAAACAGTACTGAAGTTTCGAGGGCTTATCAGGTCTTTATTTCTCATGCGTAGTGTAAAATGCATTCCATAAAAATGTCTTTTTTTAATCCTGGGAAAAAAGTGTTGAATGGTTAAGCACCCTTCTCCAAGAAACCCTGAAGTCTGAGACATTGTGCAGTATTCCAAATGCTGCAGATGGAGGGAGCTCAACCTGTGGTGCAGACACCCTTGTGGTGGAAGTGTATGGGTTTCACAGCAGGGAAGTGACATAGGTAGACATCTTGACGGAAATAAGGATGATTTCCATCCTATGAGACTTTTGCAGCTGCAGCTTCAGTACAGCATGGGCTCAGATCTTTGTTTTTAAGATACAACAACAGAAGTTTACAAACTGGATGCGCTCATTGGATCACTCCTTGTTTCTAGTTGACTTACAGAGACTGGCTTCAGCTAGAACTAGAAATTGCTCCTGGAGCTGATCCTCTGTCAGACACAGAAAGGTAAGTACTGTGGGCAGCCTGGCACAGCAGTAGCATGGTTTTCTGTATTGTATTAAGGACTATTTCATTGTGCCTTCAATGAAAGTTCGGGTGAACCGTATCCTTTGAGAATGATTTTAGTTAGTTGTTCTTTTATTCAAGAAACATTCATTGAGCTCCTGCCATGTGTCAGGCATTTCCAGAATGTTCTGGAAGCTGGGAGGCAGGTTAAGGAGACAAGCCTGTCTGGACAGCACCTTTGTACAGAGAGCGGACACAGCACACCCAGCCCCCTGCCTACCTGGGCTGGTGTCTGGAGCTGTGCACTGCTGGCCCCCCAGGAGGTAGATAGAGAAGGAGGGCTTAAGGGAGGAGGGAGTTCTGTAATACAACACAGGGCCATGAAAGCAAGGGCCAGGGGGTGGGGTCTCTGGAGGGCAGGCTTGAGGTAGGAACACAGGAGCCAGATGCTAGGGGTCTCAGGGCTGGCAACAGATGTCAAGGCATGATGTGCAGCTTGGGCATGGGGAGGGGTGTCAAGAGTTTCCCTGGGTTTCGGGGAGTGGAGTTGAGGGAGAGAGGGAAGCCGTGGTCAGCACAGAGGTGTGGAGAGTCTGAGGGCAGGTGGCCCCTGGAGCTGCTGCCCCATTCTGTGTGGGCTGACACCCTCCACTCATGCACAGTCCTGTCTCCATGTACTGAGGCTGCAGCATCAGGGTCTGGGGGAATTGAAGAGAAATAACAGGGAAGGAAAACTCTGCGGGGGAGTGACAAAACCTGGCTGCTCCTCCCCCATGCCTAGAAGAGCAGCCACTTTACCCCCAGGTCTCTCTGGGGCCAGCTTGGCTGGTGCGTCCTTCCCGGGGTGCAGATCTGGGCACACTAGCAGGGGAGATACGGGAATCACCTAACCCTGCGGGTTGCTGTTGCCGTGTGGTAGTCCAGATGCATTCTGGGGTTTCCCTACACCTAGCCAGGTCCAGCACCCATGGAGAGGGCCTTACCCCTTGTCACCCAAGTCCCAGGTGCTCCTCGCTGTGTGGTTGTGTGTGGTGTCCCCTGGTTGCCACATAACAAAACAAACCACAGTAACTGAGTCCTTGAGACCTTTCCCATGGTCATGTGCAGCGCTGCCTGGTTCAATGGCTGCCAGTGGTGCAACTATGCCCCTGTTGGTCAGGTGACTTGGCCTACGTCTATGAGGTTGTCCACTCTATGCACCAGGTTCATCAGGGTACAGCCAGTGGCTGCCCAGTGGGATGACACCTTGCCTGGGCCTTGGCTGGTAGCAGAGGTCACCCTCAATGTGGTGCCTTTCCTGAGTCTCAGGTGTAGTCACCAGAGCTGTGTGTGGTGCCCATTGTGAGGCCCCCGGGGCACAGAGAAGCCCTGCACAAAGCGTTTCGCACAGCCGACTTCATTTACTATTGCAGGCAGGACTTCCACCAGTGGGCGATCCATGAGCACTTCCTCCCTGCGCCCTTGGCTTCAGGGGGCTGCGGTGGGGACCTGGAGGTGGCGTGCACAGTTCTCATCGATGTGCTGATGGACTTCTACCAAAGGTCAGCCTGTGGTGCCAGAATCTTTCTATGATGGTTCCGAGCACGTGCTGCATTGCTCTTGGCCCAGTCACATATGCACACCTGTCCACTGTCAGGACCTGTGGCGTGTGCCCAGGGCCAGCACCTGGCCAGCGCATCAGGGTGTACAGCTCTGTCCACATAGCACTATCTCTGCTTTGGATCTGGGGTTCAGGGTGCGAAAATGTGAAGAACAAAAAACACAGCCTGGCAGGTGCCACACATGAAGATACAGCCGAAGGCGAGAGTAGTTCTTGAAGCAGTGGGTGTGATGATGGGAAAGACAGAGCAGCGGCTCGAGGTGGACCCCTCCGGGGCTGCACTGTCAGGCTGCTGCTTGTGATGCAGGCATCAGGGGTGTGGCTAATGTGATGTATCATATCATGAAAACCAAACCCTTTTGTCACACCCTCCAGATGCCAATGAGATAGCACAGCACACACGCCTGTTTGTCCCACTGCCCACTTGTCCCTCACAGGCGTCTGTGCAGAAACCATCCAGGCGTGGATCCTGTCTGAGCTCACAGTGTGTCAGCACCTTCTGGTTAGGTTTCCATGCAGCCAGCCGTGTTAGAAATTCTTTCTGTCAGTGTGCAGTGTGGGTGGACCCATATGAGCCAGACAGGGTTTCCCTTGGCCTCCCAAGAGCAGCTCAGGAGGGACAGCCAGTGTGTGCACACAGCCCAGCAGTGAGTACACTGCGCTGGCCTCCAGCCTCAAGTCTGCTCCCTGCCTGTGGCATTGCCCATTCTGGACACATCATCTGAGTAGTACTATATAATTGGTGGTCCTTTGTCTGAGTTCTTTAACTAAGTAAAATGTTTTTGAGGTCATCTGAACTGTAGCGTGGATCAGTACTCAGTACTTCCTTCTTCTATGACTGAATACACCTTTGAAGGCTGGGACACTTTTTGTGTGTCCATATGTCCATGGTTGGATGTGTGTGTTGTTTCCAGTTCTTGGCTGTTTTGAATAGTGTTGCTATGAACGTTTGTGCATAGGTTTCATGTGGGCCTATGCTTTATTTTTGGGGGAGTATGCATAGGAGTGGAGTTGCTGGGTCATATGTAACTTGTTTTGAGGTACTAGCAGACTGTTTTCCAGAACTGCTCTGCCACTCTCCACTCTTCCCTGCAGTGGAGGACAGTGCTAGGGTACAGCTCCATGGTAAAGCACTAACCTAGTGAGTTAGAGGCCCTGGGTTCAGTTCCCAATACTGGAAGAAGAACAAGAAAAAGACAAGGTTGATTTGGCTCTTCTGGGTTCTGTGTAGCTCCATCTGAACTTCAGGATCAGCCTGTCAATTTCGGTGAAGCCAGCTGGGACCCTGGTAGAGACTGCATCTCATCCGAGATCACTTGGGAGTTGTCATTTCAGTCATATCAAGACTTTCTTTCCATGATCATGGGATGCCTTTGCATTTATTTAGGACTTTTTAAATTTCTTTCAACAGTATTTTATGGTTTTTAGTATGTAAGTCATAGTTCCTTGGTTAAATGTATTCCTTTGTATTTTATTTTTTCATTATTGTTGCAAATGGGATTACTGTCTGAATTTTGGCATTGTTCATTTTGAAATACTACCGTTTTTTGCCTTTGATTTGTGAAATATTTATTAGCTTTTTATTTTTTATTTTTTTTTTAATTTTTTTTTTTTTTTTTTGCCGTTGTTGGGGTTTAACCCTTGGGCTTTTTTTTTGGGTTTTTTTTTCGGCCCCTTTTTTTTTTTTTATTTTAAATTTTGTAGCTCTTGCTAATTTATGATCCTGCCTCTGAAACTTGTGATCTTCCTGCCTCAACCTCTTAATCCTGGGATTACTGGCATGTGCCACCACACCCTGCTCAAAAGTGGTTGTTTTGTGTGGCTTCTTTAGCATTTCCTGTATGTAAGCTCCTGTCATCTGTGAGTAGAAATGGTGTAATTTTTTCCTTCCCAGCTTGGATGCCTGTTATTTTCTGATTGAAGTACCCCAGCTAGGACTGCAGTGCAATGTTGAACAGAGGTGGTGAGAGGAGAGGTCTTGGCCTTGTCCCTGTGGAGGAAAAACTTTCCATCTTTGATTGTTGAATATGATGCTGGCTCTGGGTTTTTCATGTGAGTGCCCTGCATTCCTCATTTATTGAGTGTTTTCATCACAATAGGGTATGAAATTTTCCTGTACACTTCTTTCGCGCTTATCAGTGTTTTCATTTGGTTTTTGTATTACAGTAGTCTTGGGATGCTAAACCAAAAAGCTTTCCTGGGTTGGGTCTGTAGCACTGTGGGTTCTGCCACCCCTGCTGGCTGCTGCTGGGGCAGGAGGGCAATGGGCCACACTTAGCAGCCTCCTCTGTTTCCTTTCAGCCCGAGGAGCTGTGACCCCACAGAGAGCCCCAACTGGCCCCACGGTGGCCACAAAGGCAACGTGGATCTCTTCTGCAGGCTGCAGGTGAGTTAGAGGGTACCAGGCCTCAAGGTGTCCACTGCATCAAATTGTTCACTGCTGAAGTTCATGACACATTTTTTCTGTAATGGTGCCCAGCCCCGCACAGCAGCGTAGAGATACATCTCCCACCCTGAGGCTGAGGCTCTAAGTAGCAGTGTAGAGCATGTGATTTGCACCACAGCAAACATCACAAAATCCCAGGCACAAAATCATGGTGCCCACCCCTCTGCAGGTGTCGTGACAGGATGCCTGCTGTGTAGCAGAACTTCTGTGAGTCCCCAGTCACCTGCTTTTAACTTCCAGGGCTGCAGAGGACAACAGGCTCCATGCCATCCTGGGGCTGAGAGCGTGCAGTCTAGAGTCTTTGCACAGGCACAAGCGTGGAAAAGGGGCATGGTGGCCTACACCTCATCGTGTGCATCTCCAGTTACCATTTCTGAGGGGATAACGGGCTCCCTTGGGAGTCAGGGGCACATAGAGTGTAGCCTCCCTCCAGCCTCTGTGTCCTCTTTGTGCACTGACTGTGCCCTTCAGGCATGTGTGATTTTATTTCACATGATCCTATGTGTGGGTTCCACACTGCTGTTCTTCAAAGATCTTGTAAAGTTGGGGAATGAAAGAGAGCCATGGAGAGTTAGTCCTGGAGAAATCTACTCACAGATGGAAACATGCTGTAGAGAAAGATACCAGGGCTCCCTGCTTGCATTGACCTTTGTCCTCATGCCATTAACCCTGTACATCAAAGGAAAATGAGCTAGGGAAACAATGATCTGCACAAGATCTCAAGGTTTACAGAGGATACGAAGTGTGTTCTGGCAGCTGGACAGGGCAGGTGAGTGTGCACACCTTTGGTTTGCATTTATTGGGTGCCTGCTGTGTACATGCCACCTGTGCCAGGTACCTGCCTGTCTCTGTCCCTTGTGTCACTCCTCAGCAGTGCTGTCTGCTTTATTTCCTGGTTTGTTTTTTTTTTGTTTTTTTTCTGGTACCAGGAATCGAACTCACGATCTTGAACTTGCCAGGCAGGTGCTGTGCCACTGAGCTAAATCCCCAGCCCCTGTCTGATTTATTTCCTGCTTTGTGCTAGCCCACAGTATACCTGTGGCTCCAGGCATGGGCTTGGTGCTGTCTTCTCCATCTCACCTGCCAATTCACTGCCACCAGATGCTCCTATGGTGCAGAACTGCTGAGCTGGCTAGGTGTGGTGCATACCTGTAATCCCAGCACTCAGGAGGTTGAGGCAGGAGGATTAATGTGAGTTTAAGGCCAGCCTGAACTGCAGAGTGAGACCCTGTCTTTTTTTTTTTTTTTTTTTTTGGTTTTTCTCCGGTACCGGGAACTGAACTCACGACCTTGCGCTTGCCAGGCAGGCGCTTTTGCCGCTGAGCTAAATCCCCAGCCCCCTAGTCTGTTTCTTTTGACTGGTGAATTGAGACCATTAACATTGATGGTTATAACTGATGTGTATTGACTTATCCTTGTCGTGTTATTTTCCTGTTTTTGGCTCCCTTTTTTACTCCCCTATTTGTGTCCCTTGCCTGGTAGATTCATTCTGTTGTGGTTCATGGAGTTATCATGTCATCTCTTTCCAGAATGTCCTTTAGAAAATTTTGGAGGGCTGGTTTGGTGTTCATGAATTTCCTCAGGTGTTCTTTGTTATAGAAGTATCTTATTTCCTTATCAATTTTGAAAGGTAATTTTGCAGGGTACATCAATCTGGATTGGAGGTTGTTGGGAGGGTTTGAAATACTTCATTCCAAGCTTTCCTTGAGGGTTTGTGTGAGAAGTCAGCAATGATTCTGATGGGCTTTCCTTTATAAGTGATTTTTTTTTCTCTAACAGCTTTTAATATTCTACTTGTGTTGAATTTTTAGAATCTTGACTAGGATACACCTGGCTGTAGTTTTTTTTTTTTTTTTTAAATCATGGCTAATTGGAGTTCTATATGCTTCACTTATCTGTAAGTGAAATTCTTTTTCCCTGCCAGGAAAGTTTTCTGTCATGATGTGAACATGTTTTTATTTTATTTTATTTTATTTATTTTTTGTCTTTTTGAGACAGGGTCTCGCTATGCAGTTCAGGCTGTTCTTGAGCTCACTTTGTAGCCCAAGCTGGTCTCAAACTCACAACAATCCTGCTACCTTAGCTTCCTGAGTGCTGGGATTATAGGCATGTGCCACCATGGCTGCCTAACTCCTGCTTTTTCATTGACTCCAGTCAATCTGAGTTATTTTTATTTGCCTCACCTAGCAGTCTCTGGATTGATTTCTCTTGGTCCCTTGCTATTTTTAAGAAATCTTTCTTTTCACAATCGCTAACTGCAAGCCTGTCTTCTATGTCTGAGGTTCTGTCCTCACATCAGTTTATTCCGTTGAAGATGCATTCAGTGGAATTTTTAGTCTCCTGGATATCTGGTTGAATCTATTTTTTGGATTCCATGTCTTTCCTATGTTGGGCATTCATGGTTTCCATCATTTTCCTATTTTTTTATCCATTTTTTTCCTGTTTTTTAAATCTGTATCTGCTCTAGAGTCAATAAGCATGTTTTTCATTGTAGTCACCATCTCTGTAGTTATGAGAATTTATCTCTGATTGATTTTTTTTTTCTAGAGCCTCATTCAATTGCTTTGTTGTTACTGCTCCAGATGGGTGGCTTTCAGATTGTCCTTATTGCCCTCTGGATTTGCATTTGGCTAACTGGATGTCTGGGATTGCATCTTAGTGTCGTTTCTTTTCTTTTTCTTTCTTTCTTTCTTTCTTTCTTTCTTTCTTTCTTTCTTTCTTTCTTTCTTTCTTTCTTTCTTGTCTTAGTGTCTTTTTCTTCTTTCTTTCCTTTCTTCCTTCCTTCCTTCCCTCTTTCTGTCTTCCTTTCTCCCTCTCCCTCTCCTTCTCTCTCTCTTTCTCTCTCTCTCTCTCTCTCATTCATTCCTGGGTTGATGTCTGTAAATTGCCTATGGTGAGTTGCTTTATTGCTATTTGTTTAGAACCCTTAGGAAATGACTACTTCTCAGAGGTGTCTTTCAGGTGTAGCTGGTTTTTGGGTTTTGAGTCTGTTGCAGGATCCTACAGATCCAACAATATCCCCAATATATTGTTGGGGATGAGAAGTTACTGGCTGGTTGGCTCAGCCCCTGGTTCTTTGGCACTGGCCTAAAGTATTTTCTATGACCCTTACACAATCTCAGTCCTAAAATACCAGGAAGAACAGCTGGTTAGAACAGTTATGTCACTTTGGCTAAAGTAGTACAATCAGCAATAACAATAGCATCAAACAGTCTAGAAAATGACAAGGTGAGGTAACCATTAATTTGCCACTTTTCACTCTATGAACTAGATTTGTGGTTATATAACAATATCTAAAATAAACCAGAAAATTGTATTCAGTAAGTAAGCCCTCAATGTGCCAGTTTTACCCTCGGGGGAGAAAATTTAAAAGGGATTAGGGGGAAAAATAAGAGAAATAGAAGAAGAGGAAGAGATTAAAAGCAAGGCTGGAAGACAAAGGAGGATTGTGCAAACTTCAGGAAGTTGGTACAGAAGATGAAAAGACAGAAGGAAGAAATAAAAAGAATAGAACAAAACAACAACCACCAAAAAAATTGAAACTATGTTCACACTCTTATAAAAACAAGATAAAACAATGCAGGAAAAAAACAAGAAAAGAGAGGGCGGGCGGAGTCCACTTCTGGGCTTGTCTCTGGTATCACTGGTAGACAACATGTGGAGACAAAGTCCAGATCTGTGTTGATTTGTCTCAGCAATCCAGCAGCTTTATTGCGGGGTACTGGATAATCTCAGTGAGCCTGCACCTTCATATCCCCTGAAGTTTAGGTAGGTTTCTGGCTGTGAGGCTGGGACCAGACCCATTCAGCCTGCAGTAGTCAGCGCATCTTCTGTGGGCTTGAACTCAGCTGGGAGCCTCTAGGTGGATCCAGCAGTTGTTCTGAATTCTGAGCTTGGTTGGCTCCTCTCCAAGATGGCTTCCAGCCAGTCACTCTCTCCTGAGGAACATCCAATCCCACAGCGCTTACCACCAGCCAGCGCAGTCCTCTATGTACATTGTTCCCTTCCACTGCTGTGTCTCTGTGGAGGCCTCTGGGTTCACAGCAGTCACTGTGTCCACAGATTTGAACTATTCCTCCCACACAGTGAGTCCCAACACAGGGAGAAGGCATGCCGGCTACCTCCTCCTTCTATGTTGAAGTTTCTCTCTTCACTGTCCTCGTGGGCTTCAATTTTTGCTGCAGATCTTTCCTGGGTCTAGGGCACCCACTTTTTTCTTCTCTTCCCCATTTTGCTATATTCTAGTGTGTGGACAGCAAATCTGAGAGGCTGTTTCTCTGCTGCTTACTACTCTACCATTTTCTCAGATGTACCTGCTTTGGCATTTAAAAGTCCCATTTTCTTAAAGAATGTCAGTGTCATGAGAAACAGTTTGTGGTAATGTTCCAGTGTAAAAGGGATGACACTGAACACACACCCAGCTCTGGCCACACAGAAGGTGGCTGTGCTATGCTGATGCCCCCAGGCCCAGGCCTGAGGCTGTGCCCACAGAGTGGTAGGGTCCAAAGCATGTGTGTGATCCATTTATGGATGTCCCTGCACATGCATGAGTACACACACACACACACACACACACACGTATACACAGAGGAGACAAGTGACAGATGGCATGAAGGCTAGTGGAATCTGAGTTAACAGTATTCCTTGGACTGTTCTATTACTTTTACAATTTAAAATGATTTCCAAGCAGAATAGTTGTCATACACAGTTCCCAGGGTGACTTTGCTCACAAGCCCATCTCTTAGGGTCTCTGACTGTGGCCAGTGTTAAGCCCTGAGGACTTTCTGCCTCATTCTTGGGGACAGAAAACATACTTGGAAACCAGAAAAAGGCTTGTGACTATCTGGCTTTGTTCTCTTCCAGGAGATGGCTGCTGACCTCGAACTCAGCTATCCTGTCTCTCAGGAACACTTTGTCTTCAGGGTGTTCCGCAGACGGCTCAAGGACCTGGCAAGTGGGAGACTTGTGGCCACCAGCCTCTGGAGACAGCAGGAGGTCTTCATGTGCAAACGGTGGGCCTTAGTTACTTTTCTTGTTGCTGAGACAAAATACCTGACGCCCAAAATTAAAGGAGGAAAGTTTTATTTAGTTCACAGTTTGTAGAGGTTTCAGTCCATAACTGGCTGGCTCTAAGGCAGGGTGGCTTGGCAGAGGGGCATCACAAAGGAGAAACAGTTCATGGCAGCAGAAGACAGCAATGGCAACAAGGGAGAGGGAGAAGCCTCTTTCTGTCCCTTATATTGTATCCAGTCTACCAGGATTAGGGGGGTGCCAGTCCAATCAATGGACTGATCTAGCAATCACCCACCCTTAATCCCAGCACTGAACCATGGATCACAAACTCTAGATCTACCTCCAAAACAGTCCTATTACAAGTGCATGAGTCTTTGAGGGGACATCTAGACACACTGTAACATGATGGGTCACAGGCCTGGTGAAGCACTACCCAGTGACTCACCCCAGAGTTCATCTTTGCTTGATTTTTTTCCCTGTGCTCCACCCAACCCTGGGTGCTATTTTGAGGTCCCCACGGGACCATGCCTGGAGGCAGGAGAGGCACTCTGGGTGCAGGCTCTCCGACTTGTCCTCAGAAAGCCCTCTGTTGAAGGATGTATTTAAGGAGCGCAAGTCAGGAAAACTGCTCAAAGGTGTGCACCACTGCTGTTTTTTAGAGCAGAAGGTGATTGGATCTGCAGGTGCAGGGATGGCTTCCTTGGGCTGTGGGGCCTCCTCCTGCCTGGTGGCTCATTACCAGGCACTTTGGGGCGCTCACTTTGAGTTCCTGTGGCAGCTTCCACATGACTATGAAAAGGCCTGGGCCAAGGTAGTGGGCCATGCGGATTAGAACTCTGGTTCTGATAGGATTTGGGGTTTTGGGGAGCTGAGGAAGGCATGCAGGGTATGCTGTGCCCTCACTGCTGCTATGGCCCTTCCTTTCTAGGGTGCTTCTCCACCTGCCTCCTTCTGTTCTCCTCGGCAACATGCAGGCTGAGGAGCCTGCCGCACCCAGCTGTGAGGAGTTCTTCCACCTGGTCAACTCAGAGCTGGTGGGTGCTACCTGGGTAGCCACAGGGCTGGGGAGGGCATCCTAGGTCTAAGTGTGGGCTCCTGGGGAAAGGAAGCCCTGCAGGATGATGCCCAGAGAGCTGAAGGCTGAGATTATGTGCAGAGAGTCCTGTGCCCTCAGCCCAGCCAGGATGCTGGCAAGCACAGCACCAGGTTGACATGGCTTTCCCCAGCACCCGCGCCTCTACAAAACCTTCCTCAGGTTTTCATGCTTTGGACTTGGGGCATTTTGTTCACCACCTACTGCTTTCTTTCCAGTTCTGATGTATTGCACCTGCCACCCACCTAGCAGCCCACCTGGTAGCCCTGCTTCCTTTCATTGCAGACACTGCCAGTGTAACCTGCACCATGACCTTAACTAGCAAAAAAAAAAAAAAAAAAAAAGGTGGCACCGCTCCCATCTTTTCTGTCAGGGATAAGTGTGTTACAGTTCCCTCCACTCTCAGAGAAGCAGTTTCTGCACATAGAGAACTTTTTCCTGTTTTAAAAAAATCTACAAGTGTAGCAGGGCACGGTGAGAGTACACCTACAATCCCAGCACTCTGGGAGGCTGATGCAGAAGGATCTCAGGTTTTAGCCCAGTTTGAATGATGTAGCAAGACTCAAAATATAAAAAGGAGGTGAGGTTGTAGCTCAACGTGAAGGACCTGTGTTCATCTGTCAGTACCACCACCACCAAAAAAAGAAAACAAAACCAAATATGACTAGAGCCGGAGCTCAGGCTGCACTCCAGCTATGCAAACAGCACTTGAGAAGTTGACAGGAAAACAGAGGAAATGAGATCGGTGAAAGCCTTGAAAATTCACCCAAGTCTTTACATTCTCAATGAAGGCTCTCCCTCTTAATGCTTAGAATGGGCAGTCTAAGCGCTCAGGTGAGAAGTGCAGTGCTTGGTTTGCAGAGGTGGCCCAGACGACAGAGCTGTCCTCCCCAGCTGCCTGCAGCCCGGTCTATGGCGGCCAGAGGGGTGGACTGGTCAGGGGCTGGAGGCCAGGTGCTTCGGGAGTCCTCAAGCATGCTGCTGCTGGCCTCACACTCACCCTGCCAGGCCCTCCCTCACAGCTGTGCTGATCTGATTCACAGAGAAACTTCTGCAACCATGGTGGCACCCTGAGCCTGACCCACGACATCACCATCCACTTCTTTAGGGTAACCATATCCCGGGCATCCCGTGGGCCTACCCAGAGCCCTGTGGGGTAATACCCAGCTGGTGCAGGTAACTGGCATGGAAACCACTGAGTAGCTGGCATGTTCCCGGCCACAGGGGCTCCTGAATGCCTGCTCGCACAGCCTGGATGCCTCCCTGACTGCCAATCTCACCCTGGCCCAGTGCCAGGCCAGATGCCCTCTGATCGTGACCTCAGCATTGGTAGGCCTGGCTGTCCTGGGGGCGCTGCATGATTGGGGCTGGTGGCCCTTCTGTTTCCCTGGTCTGTCATTCAACAGCATGTGTAGAAGTGGGGCAGCTATGACGTGTGCTCTAGTGATGCCATGTCCTCTGCTCACATTGTCACCTCCCTCAGTCCTCTGTCTTCATTGCAGATAACACAGAGCCCATAGGCCTCGTTATCACACCCTGTCATGTACTGAGGGGCACGTGGCTGTGGCCTCACTGCCCCTGGGAGCATCCATGTGTCTGTCCTCCTTCCCTGGATGGGAAGTGGGTGCCAGCTTCCAGTTACCTACTGGGTGGCTCCTTGATGAGCCAAGGCTGTGTTTAAGACACTAGCTCTCTGTGCTATGTGCATGGGGCCTGAGTGGGCTCACCATAGGTAATGGGGTGCACATGGAGACCAGGCAGGTTCATCACAGGGTGCTGCATCAGGCAGGGCCCTTCCTTCCTATCCTGGGGAATAGAATGCCCCATGGGATCATTTTGAGGTTCAAATGAGGTTAACAAGACACTGATACTATAAAGTGATGAACATAAGCCATGCAGAGCCCTTGGAAGAGCCCTGGCCTGCTGGCAATGGGCTCTGGTGTGTCTGCCATGAATGGCCTCTCACCCAGGCCTTCCTGGTCTTGAGAGCTAGAGCTGGGTCCTGCCCTAACCCATTTCCCAGTGACTTTTCTCTTCTACAAGTCGTGGTGGTCAAGCCTGGAATCAGTGCTGTGTGGTCATTGGCAAAAGTTCAGCCAGGTCGGGCTCCCGCATGAACTGCAGAGGCTGCAGGAGGCTCAGCAGTTTGCCCACAGGTAGGAGATGAAAGTAGGGCACTCAGGAGCTCAGGCTGCTCCTGAGGCTAGGCTACTTGCATGGGTGTCCAGGGATCCAGCCTCAGATCTGTGTAAAGGGGGGACCGAGCTGACAGGCTCTGTCTGGGTGGCAGCACAGGAATGCTGGTGCAGACCAATTTCAGCTGCTCTTACTCCAGCACAGCTGGTCCTGTTCTCCTGTCTAACCCAAGGGCTTAGAATGGGCAGCATCAGCGTCAGGATGCCAGTCCTCTCCTCAGCCCTCCCCATGGTGGCAACTGTCTGGGAGTGCTGTTTGTCTACCTCCACCCGGAATGCCTTCCTTGGTGACTGGTTTCAATCCGTGATGCCTCTGGGACTCCTCAAGAGTCAGGGGTGCTTAAATCCTTCTCAGCAAACAGAAGGGGAACATGGGCAGGCCTTGCCTGACAATCCTAACCCTACAGAGACAGATTAGATTGCTTAAAGTTTCTTAAATCTTTGAGATCTATTTAATTAGTATTTCCCCCAGCTCTTACTCCACTGGAAAAAGGGGCAGCACACATGGTAGAGCTGCACCCACTCTGTCCTGTTTCCTAGACCTGACCCAGTCGACCTCCCCCTAGTGAGGTAGCCAGGACAGGCCCTGCCTCTGTGCAGGACATCACCCTGCCTGCGAAGTCCTCCTGCAGAGCCAGGGCTCTTGAGGCCACTCTGTGCCCTCTGCTGAGGGGACAGCCTCTTATGGCCAGCACAGAAGTGTGTGGGGCCAGTAGCAGTCAGAGGACGAGTCAGTTGCTCAGATGTGGCTTTACGGCCCTCCAAAGACATGTTCTGTGTGTCTCAGCTTCCTCTCCCTGGACATGACTTCTCCTGCCCCGACTCCAGCCTGGGTCTCTGCTGCTGCGCTGCACTTTGCAGTCCAACGAGTCAGGAGGGATGACGTGAGGAGACTGCTGAATAAGCTGGACTTCGAGAGAGAGGAGGCAAGGCGTGCCGTGTGTGTGCATTCTTTCCCTAGCAAGTCAGCTTTCAGTCAGTGCGTTTCTCTTGTTTTCTTGATGGGCTTTGCTTTTCCAAGAGCAAACATGAGGTTTGGTGTTCCCATCACTTTGTTACAGTTTGAGCCGGGCTCCAGTGTCCTGGTGTGCTTCTCTGTGCTCTTCTCCAGAAGAACCCAGTGTTGAGCCACCAGCTGCTGGTGCAGGAACAGAGCCCCCGTCCGGTACACCGAGGCGACTCGGCACCAGAGCTCAAGCTCTGAAGCAGCTCGTATGGACATCTGCTGCTACCTGTGTGGGCATGAGAAAGGGGCTACTCCCACCCCAGGCAGAGACCCTAGCCTGCACCTAGGCCCTCAGGAGCCCCCCTGCACAGCACTCAAGTCTATACAAGGCACCTAGGGCAATGTGTGCAGAAGGCAAGGACTTGAGAGGGAAGGGCAGAGAACAGAACATGGAACCAAAGCAAGCTGGGGAGACCCCGAGTGCCGAATGCAGGGCCTGTGTCAGCCCAGCTAACACCAACTCAGAGCCAAGAGTCTGTCATTAGAATCCACCCTCGGAGGGACACCTCCATCTGCATTCATGGCCAGGCTGCTGCGTATGCCGTTGTTAGCAGCAGTTCCTGTGGCTTTGGCCAGGCCCTCGTGTGAGGCATCTGGGCTCACGGTTCCGACTGGGAGGGTTACAGGGCCACTCAAGCCCACTTACTCCTTCACTGCTGGTGGTAATGTGTCCTTGTGCTCTCTTCACGTGTGGCAGGCTTTTCTTCAGGAAGACTCCCTCACCAAACAGCCTGGGGTGGTGGCTTCCAAGGATGGGTTGGGCTTCCTGGGGCTGGGAGTGGGACTTCCATGTAGTAATTGCCGTTTCCTCTACAGCTCTTGGCTCCCTTCTTCTTCTTCTCCTTGCTCAGTCTGCTGTCATCACACCTGATCCCAAGTGTAAGTCAGACGCTTCAGCTGAGGTGAACCTTGCTTCCCGCTGGGCAGGTCAGGATGCCGGGCTTGTACCAGGCTCACTCACCTGGAGTCAGCCATCACGGGACCTGTTCACCTCTTTGACCTCTCCATCCAGAGCCCAGTATGACACCTGTAGGTTGTCTCATTTTTACTTTGAACAAGTGGGCATTGTGATGCATACCCATAACCCTAGCAGTCTGTGAGGTTGAGGCAGGAGGGTCACAAGTTTAAGTCTAAGCAGGGCAACTTAGCAAGACCCTGTCTCAAAATATGTAAAAGGGATGGGGAGCTGAGGACACAGTTCAGCGTCTGGTTCAGTCCCGTCACACACACACATTGTCGTGTGGGTCACAGGCCACAGCTGACTCTCTAAAGGCTATGGAGGTCTGCGCGGAGGTCCTTGCATGTCTGCAGAGGAGGAAGCTACCCTGGCTGAGGCTTTTCCAGCTAACTGAAGCAGGTGAGAAGCCATGTGAAGTCTGACATAGAGGGGTGTGTGGACAGTGACTGTCACTCTCCTGGAGTGACTTTTATGAAGCAGTGAAGCACAAGCCCCAGAGGAGTGCTTGCTAGCGCATGTGATTCCATGAGCACAGAAAGGGGGAAAACCCTCTTTAGGCTTCGTTTTATAAGCCTGATTTTTGTGCTCATCTTAAGTTTATAAACGGCAGCTTAGCTGGGAACATTCAGTGCCTGCTTGTTCAACACAGCAGAACTCCCTGGAGCACTTGAGGCCCAGGGCGGCATCTTGCCCTGCAGCAGGTCTACAGGCACATTGTGCAGGTGTCCACTGTGTCCAACCCTGGCCTCTGCCCTCCTGTAGGACATCACCCCCATCTTCCTAGTAGCTAAGGGGTGGCCTCAACACAGGGCACACCCCCATGCTATTGCCACACAGACCTCTGAGCCCTTGCTGTTGCAGATGCTGGGCTGGGTCATCTCCTCCGCTTGGCCCCGGATCAACATACCAGACTGCTGCCCTTTGCCTTCTACAGGTGATGGCCTGCCACCTGCTCCGTGAGGGGTGCAACCAAGCCATGGGCTGGGTCTGGGCATGCCCTAGGAGGGGTGGGCATCTGCACTGCCCCAACTGGTTCTTGTCAACCTTGTCCCACCAGCAAATGGGCATCTTCTGTCTCACCTGCTCCTGGCCTTGTCACTGGTCCCTGTTCTAGGCTCCTCCCCCACTTTGATAAGGCTGCTACTGTCAGGGAAGAAGGCTTCCTGCATGTTGCTGTCGACATGTACCTCCAGCTGGTCCAGCTCTTCATGGAAGGGGAGAATACCACAGTGTCAGCACTGACTGGCAGAAGCCCACAGCTGCAAGGCCAGCCTTGGCCACAGGTAAACACCCAGCCTGGGGCAGCTCCTGCCTAACAAGGCAGGTGCTGGCCCTGACCTGTGACTGCCCGTCTTCTCCCCAGGGTAGCCCTGTAGAATTGATAACAGAAGCACGCCTCTTTCTGCTCCAGTTAATACGTCGGTGCCCACAAAAGTGTTTCTCAGGCATAGTGGAGGTAACCCGAGACACCCTTCCCTGTGCAGTGACATGCACCAGGCATCCCCTACTGTCCCAGTGCCTCTGGGGCTGAGCAGCAGTCTTCCTTTTCACAGCTGCTGGCTGGCCGTGCAGACTGCGACCCCGAGCTGACCAGTGCCCTCCTGCATAGGCACCAGGCTGTGACTGATGTGGACCTGTACCAAGAACCACATCTCTTCTGACTGGATCCCTCTCAGTACACCAGCCTGCCTCCTTCGTAAATAATTTATTACAAGCATCACAGGAGTTCCTATTGCACTAGAAAGTGGTTCACAACCCTCCTTAATTGCTTTAATTGGGAAAAGGAGTCAATTATTCATCATCTGTCTGGCCCCAAGTTGCCCAGTGTTGTAGGAAAAGAAACAGCTGGTCCCAAAGCAGAGGACAGGAAAGTGACACAGAGCACAGCCACACCCTACCTGCACCAGCGTGCACCCTGGGCTCCAAAGAGCAAACAACAGGGAAACATCATCAGAGCCCAAGTCCCACCTGAGTTCATGCTACTTGGCCTGCCTGCTGTCCCACTTGCCCACCTCCTCAGGTGGGCTCTGGCTTCACTGCCTGGCCTTCTGTGGTCCCAGGAGGGCTTGGGGGCCCAGGAGGTGGCTCTGCCTCCAAGGGCAGGGCCTTGTCTTGGGTCTGTGTCAGAGGGTGGACCATGGACATATGCACGTTGAGATTGTGTGCCTTCTCAAACCGCCGGCCGCACTGATCACAGGCAAAGTCCAGCTCAGTCTCTGCCTTGTGCTTCGTCATGTGGTACTTGAGGGATGCCCGCTGCCTGCACTGGAAGCCACAGACTTCACACCTGTGGGGCAGAGGCAGTGAGGAAGGCTACCCATGTCTCTACCCCTAGAGAAGCCCTGCCCATACTTACTGCAGTGGCTTGGCTCCCGAGTGGCGCATCTGATGGACAAGAAGGTGCTTCCGCTGCTTGAAGGTCTGCCCACACTCATCACAGATATAGTTGCGCACCTCTGGGGACAGAAAGAGTGAGCTCAACACCCACACTCACTCTGGAGGGACAAGGTCTCACTGAGCATCAGGAAGCAGACTATGACCTGGCCACAAGTGATTACAGTAAGACTGGGTACAAAGCATTTCATTAATAAAGACTTCTAAACTGCCTAATATTGTCACATGGCTGGATCTTTTCTATCAGTGATGTAAATCTGAAGGTAGAACAGACAGAAACCAATTAAGAGAAACCAAATTGCAAGGTATAGAGGTCACTGACCCTTAGAGCAACTTTCTGACCACTCTGGGCTGGGAAGCTCTGTGGTGGGAATAACTCTCCATCATGTTGGGAAGCAGCTCCTTGCCCTCCTCACCTCTTTAGAAAGCTGATTGTGACCATGACTGGCCTGGTAAGCATGGCTTAAAGATCTGACCTAGAGAAATTCTTACATCAGTACATGTGCAGGATGCTGAGAGCAAAAACCTGAAATAACTGGAGGGTAGGGTGACAAAATGTCCCATAGCTGGTTTTGTTCTGAAACCCCCGCAGGTATGTAATCCAGCAGTAGAAATGAATCGGTCCTAACAGGGAAGACTCCAGAGCAGTAAGTCATATATGAAGCTCAGCTCTTTAGCGATCAGCATGGTGACTGAGCTGCTGGAAGAAGTGGGTGCAATTAAGCGTGTCCTTGGCCTTGGGGCACAAGGTGGGACTGTGCTGGACACACAGGCCCAGGCAAAGGCATACAGAGGAAAAGCTGGAAGAGCAAACCCTCCAGGGTGGATGGCAGGGTGACCAAGAGGCCCTGACACCTGTGTACTGTGTTTATTGTTCACTGCTACAATGCACACCGGTTTTTACAGTATGAAAAGGGTTTTTGTTTTTTTGAGACAGGGTCTTAAAATGTAGTTCAGGTTGGCCTTGACCTCACAGCAATCCTGCCTCAGCTTCCTGGGATTATAGGTGTGAGCTACTAAGCCCAGCTTTTTGTTTTTTTTTGTCTTTGAGACAGCATCTCGCTATGCAGTTCAGGCTGGCCTTGAGCTCACTTTGTACTGACCAGGTTGGTCTCAAACTTGCAACATTCCTCCTGCCTCAGCCTCCCAAGTGCTGGGATTACAGGCTTGCACCGCCACACCTGGCTCCAGCTATTTTTTAAAAATCATAACAAACTCAGAAAGGCACCAGAAAGTCTATCAATCTGCAACTTCACATCTTGCAGAAAAAAGTACTCCAGGGAGAGTGTCTGCCAAGCACACGGCAGCGGGGTTTCATCTGTGCAAGTACACGTCTCCCCCATGACCTAGGAGCACCAGAGCTTGGAGCTTATCTGCCCAGACACAGCCTCAGGCCACCTGACAGCTCCTGGGGCAGGTTGTATGAGTGGGTCAAGTTCCCATGGCTGGGCATGCCAAGGTCCAATGCCACCCACCGGGCTGGGCCTCAGGGTCTCCCTGGGGAGCAGGCACCTGTGTGGATAAGTTTCACGTGGCGTTGCAGGTAGCGGTCGATCATGAACACCTTGTTGCAGCCAGGGTGGGGACAGGGCCTCTCCCGGACCTCCTCATGATGTTCCTTGATGTGCTTCTGCAAGGGAACAGGCAGGAGACACTGGCTGCTGTGTCTGGACCAGGTCCCACCTCCTGGGGCCCTGCTAAGCACCCTCACAGAAGGGCAAGCCCCACTCCTCACTGGGCCCTGGCTCCTCTGCTGTCCTGGTGGCCTATCCTAGGACCTCAGGCACAACAGGCAAGTGCTTTATCACTGACTGCACCTCAGCCTCCACTGGCTCCTTAAAGCTTCATTTAGAAAATGCTGGGCCTATAGGGAACATCTCTCGAGCAGAAGGCTGGCTCCCCATCCCTGGGACTGTGGCTGACTCTCCATAAGCCTAGGTACACAGGAGTCGTTGGCCAGTGCCAGTACCAGCCTCCTACCTACACACTGACGTCCTGCACAGTACCCATGGCTCACCTTCATGCCATCGGCCCCACGGTACACGGCCGTGCAGCCCTGGTAAGGACACTTGTAGATGGTGGGCAGCTCCTCCCTGCAAGAGAGAGCACACGTGGAGGTGCCACCCTGCCACGCACGCCACCCCACACAGCAGCCCCTCACCTCTCACACCGGAGCTTCTTCTTCCACCCAGGCTTGGGCCCGGGTTTCTTCCGCATTTTTGGTTCTTCGGCATTTTTGGCTTCTTTGCTTTCACTCTTCTTCCCAGAAATCCTGAAACAGGAAAGCACTCTCATACAGATGCAGTGCTGTTTCTGATCTCTATGCAGTTGATTCTCATCTTTGTTCACCCTACTTCAAGCACCAGAGGATTTCTCAGCTCTGTGAGAAATGCCTGGCCCTTAACTGTCACTGCAGCAGCCACTGTGAGAAGGAGGGCAGCCTGGCGCTTGGGAGGCACAGCACTGCAGTGTGGGATGCAGGGCACTCCCCAGTGGCTGCCCAGGACCAAAGCTGTGTCCCTGCTCTGAGGACCAAACACTGGAGACATCATGGGGAAGCTTTAGAGCCACTCTTCTCAAACCACCTCCCACCACAAGCAAGCTCAGCATTGCCTCCCTGCAGCCAGGGCAGAGTTGTCACCATGGATATAAACTCAGGATTAGCTTCGCTAGCTACTGGACTAGCAAGGCTGAACTACAGCTGCAGGTGTCCTACCAGTAAAGAACAAGCGAGTGAGCAACAGAGGGCTGGGGGCTAGCTCAGTGGTCCACACAAAAGGACCCAGCAAAGTTACAGGATACAGACATCAACACAAACCAGGCGTTGTAGTACACGCCTGTAATGCTGGCACTTGGGAGGGTCAGGAGGATCACTGAGTTCAAGGACAGCCTGAACTACGTAAGGAGACCCTGTCAGGAAAAAAATCATGTAAAACCTGTTTATTTCTATACATTAATGACTAACGGTCCAAAAAAGAAATTGGTTTTGTAACTTCTGGTGACAGCATTGAATTTTTAATTGTTGTGTGCTGGGGATTGAACACAAGGCCTATGGTAGGTAAGTCATTTACCACTGGGCCATATTCCCAGTCCTGTTATTTTTGACTGTAGTTTTCTGCATATATAATTATATAATCTGTTTTTCTAGTTTCTTCTTTTCTTTCTGAACTATCATCAAAAACCTCCAGTATTACGTTAAAAAATGGTGAAAGTGGCATCCTTGTCCTGCTCTTGACCTTAATGCTTTCAGTCCTCCAGCACTGAGTGTGGCATCTGCTCTGGGTTACCATGAGCCTGCCTTGTCGACGAAGTTCCTTTCTGGTACTGAGAGATTCCTTAAGTGTCAGTGTCCAAAAGGAGAGAAAAGTGTATGCGTCTCCATGTACCTGGAGTGCCTGCCAAGCACGCGAAGACCCTAGGTTCAGAATCCAGTCTTGCAGCAAAAATAAACACTTAAAACAGCTTTTTTAAGTGAGGTGTTTTAGCACGTGCCTGTAATTCTGGCTACTCAGGAGGCTGAGGCATAGGGATAGTGAATTTGAGGCCAGCCTGGGTAAGGTACGGTGACCGTATTTCAAAGAAGGGGATGGCCTGAGGCCCTGTGTGACAGCGCCTGCCTGTAATTCCAGCACTCTGGAGGCTAAGGCAGAAAGACTGCAAGTTTGAGGAAAGCCTGGGCTAAATAGCAATCTCAAAGCCAAAATGAACTACATAGTAAGACCTGGTCTCAAAGGGGTTGGGGTCTCGGGGTACAGTTCAGTGGTTTGTGTGTGGTGGCACATGTCTATAATCCTAGCACTTGGGAGGCTAAGGCAGGAAGACTGTAAGTTTAAGGTCAGCCTGAGATACACACACTGAGACAAAAAGCCCAAGCTGGAGAACTTAAACTGTTTCTCAAACTTACTCCAAAGGTATGCTACTTAAAACGGTGCTGCTGGTGTTATTATGGCAAAGTCACACAGACCAAGCATATGGTACTGAAACCAAAAGCACTCATACAGTCTACTGAATCTCAGCAAGCGCTCATGACTACAGCTGGGGAGCACAGAACCTCTTCGGATGGTGCTGGGGAGACTGGACATTCACATGCAGAAGAACCGCATTGGGCTACTGCCTCATAGATACACACAAATGAGTGGAACATGATCTAAATCTAAAAGCTAAAAACTAGTAAAACTGTTGAGAAAATAAAAGACAAATCTTCATGACATTGAATTTGGCAATAATTTCTTAATATGGCATTAAACTCACAGATAACAAAAGAAAAAAAAATAAGCAAACTAAACTTTATCAGAAGTTAGTACATTCCCCATTATGCTAAATAAAAAAAAAAAAAAAAGAAGTTAGTACATT